ATATAAGAAGGTAGGCTTTTATCCTAGAAAGTAGAGGGAATGTTTTGTCTAAAGTAAGCCCAAGGACTATTGAGAGAGAAAATATAGGCCTACACGAGGTACCGGTAAAATTCTGCTAGAGGTACTGGTAAAATTCTTTTATGTTAAAAATTGAGCAACTACTACGGACTATTAAAGGTCTAATTCAAATAAGCCCATACCACAGAAATATAAGGAATATATTTCTAAATTCAGACTTTCAACGCAAAATCTCGCCATAGAAAAGGGATGAGAAGAAAAAAAAAAAGAAAATTCTTAAAATATGCATCCGAATTAAGATTAGCGTTACTATGAGATTTTGTTATTTTTCTTTTAAATTTTATCATTTTGTGTGATATCCTATTATATCCTGTAATATTGTCTACCATTCGGATGGACTGTAGGGCTGAAAGATTAATAAATTTTAAAGTTAATTAAATTAAATTTTGCGACCAATTTTCGAAGTTGTAAATCCGACCTTCCCCACAGCTGTCAGGTAGAGCCTACATGTACTAGTACCTGTTGAAGGAAGCGGAAGCTAGGGAGGTGGAAGGGGGTATTTATACAATTTATAAATTTTACAAACTTTACAGAAGCAGCCTCGATCAGCCTGTGAAACCTACTCATTCATGGTACATTTATTTTAATAAACTTTATTTTAATTTTAATTTTAATAAATTTATTTATTATAATTAAAATTATTACCTTTAACTGTGTTGAACCTTTCCGTATCGGGAACGTCGTTAACCACGCACGTTGTAAACCATGCACGTTTACGAACTCAGATAAACATTACTGACCGATGACTCAATAAAGGACACCTATAGATTGTCCTGTATGAGAGCCATTGCCAGAGACCGCTAACACAATAACCGGTGAATAAAGTCCACGTGTTGCCGAGTCAGATAGAGCGGTCAGACAGATGGACAGCGTCTAGGTCGGCGTGGCCTTGGTTGCTGTAATCTAAAGTCAACGTGACATGCTGAATACTAAATAAAAACGAATCTTGAAAGTGCTTTCGATACATTTTTGCCAAAGTGTCCTTTTAAAATCCACCCTTTTTTCATTTATTCAATATCCCACGTGGTTTATCATTTTGTTCTAATAATTCGACCATTTAGGTTTCAGGTCCGAAGCCGGAGGGGNGTTCGAAAGAACCCCTTTCTTTGCTGGGAAATGGTCCACTCTGGGTAAATTTGATTTAAGTGAACTAAGGTTTCATTACAAAAGGCCCACATTTTCAGAAAAAGACCCCCCCACCCTTTTACAATTGCTGGCTACGGGCCTGGGTCTGTATCCTGTAGCTAGGTCATTAAGACCCAGTTAATTAGACCAAGTGGCAGATATAGAGGGGGGGTCAGGGGGGTCCTGACAGCCCCCTTCCCCCCTGCGGTTTCTGAAAAATATATCACACAATATTCCCCTGTTGAAAATAGAATTTTTACTAGCTAAATTATAGTTCTAAATCGCACAAAAGGGCACTGTTTGCTCTCCAAAACACCAAAAAAAAAAGGGGGCGATGATCGGCATCGCATCCGAGACCTGTCGTTCCTCCCCACCCCCCTTCAAATAATCCTGGATCCGCCCCTGAGACCCAGACTTCTGGTACTTGCTGGACAGCTGCCAGCCCCGCCGACTGACCAGACTGGTCAACAGTGGTCAAGGCCGTTACTGTTATCTTGTTATCTGACACACGTTTTCCTGATCACACTTTGACTCCCGTTCGATCGGTCCCATCAAGCTACATATCGCCCTCCCTCACCATGTGGCTATATCGCCTAGAATGACAATATTCACTGTTATTTTAACATGTTGTGAACTTGTATGTTGTATGTCACAGAAGTCATGAATTGCAATCAATCAAACACTCATTGATTTTTAAAACTGAAAAGAAAAACTTTTCCTTGGGCGGACAATTGCTTGTTTTTTGTTGTTGTTTTTTCCTTTCAATATTCTTAATTTTTGTCTTCTCTCCAAAATACCAATATCTATCAACGTTTTAGTTTACGACATGAAATTTTGATTTGGATGCTGTTATGGATGAGAGTGGGTGTTTTTATGGATGAGTCCGCACGAAGCCCCTCTCCACTACCCTTCGCGGGGCCCAGAGGGCAGTGTCCCGCTGGGGGGGGGGGGGGGGGGGGGGTTCGCTTGGGCCCCTTTCGTCTGCAGTTCTTTCGCGTGCACTAAGATGACATGGAGTCCTAAAATTTTTAAGATTCGCAACCTTCGCACAAATTTTACAGTTGTGCTTTATTTCATAGCTCATCGCAATGCCGCAATCTTTGCTGTAGAGCTTGTAAATATTTTGATAAGACAACCCCCTCCCAAATATACTGGAGGTCAATATTTATGTGTCGTTTGTCTTGTTATTCTGATCCTTGGTTAACGTGACAATCAAACTCGCACCCTAATCGATAGCTGCAGATTAATTGCTTCTCAGGTGTTAATTTCACGTTAGGACTTAATTAAGTATTGTTCTGTGAGGTTCATACACGAAGGGAACCAAACGAAAATGAATCGGAGGTCAGATCCGAAAAATAAAAATCTGAATGAAGGGGGTAAAAGAAACGCAGTAATTTATATAATGCACAAGAGGAGACATGCAAAAATTAAAGCCATTTCACAAAATATAAATGATACCAGCTAATGAATAGTCAGATAAATATTTGTGGATGTCTAGTGATAAAATAATCTCCGTGATCCTGGCCATTGGTGGAGGATGGGCTTTTGTCCACTAGGCTGTTCCGTCTGAATCCATGGTGAGAGCAAAGTCCTATAAACAATTTACGTCACATAGGTAACTTATTTAAGGTCCGTGTCAAACCACCGTTTGTGGTCATTGGTAAATTGGTATGTGAAAAAGCTACACATCTGTTACGAGATCGCCCATACAGTGAAGAACGTGTAGGTAAATTAAAGTTCTTCCCATATTAAAATTAAGTTTGTGTTTTTACATTTTTTACATAAGTGCTTTTTCATGATATTTTTAAGTTACTCTAACAGAACATAGCTACTGTACATAGATATATTTATAAGGCGCAGTGTCTACATTTTTTCTATAAAAGTGGTTTACAGGATGCTGATAAGTAACTCTATAGGAACATAGTTACATACGTGTAGATATTTTAATAAGGTGGTATGTCAACATTTTTACAAAAGTACTTTTACAAGATATCTATAATGAGTAACTTTAGAAGATGATTGTGTGATCAAGTTTCCGGCAGAAGTGACGCGCAGACGTATATCATACGGATTTCCCTCCCTTCCGTATAAAAACCTCAAGGGCAATGTCGCGAGTAATACGGTCTTTAGCGCTACATTTGTTAATCTAATTATCGACACGGTGTGGTATTTTTGTGTTTACCTGTTAAAGACATGGGAAAGAATATTTTGTCACGGTTCAAAATTGGCCGAATATAATTGGCAGAATATAAAATGACTTATCAATAAGCCAACTGACAACCAAAGGCAACATTCAATAATATGTGATGCCCCAAATTATTTATAAAATTGAAATCAAGGTTTACTTATAGTCATAAGCCACACAATTAGCAACTGAATTCAATTAATTCCTGTACTGTTGCATATGTTTTTCACCTTGTAGGCCTATATGGTAACATAATATAATTGATAAATTACACTAAATGATAAATTATGCAAATGTATATTTCGCTGTTAAAGTAGCTATTTAAAGATAAACAAGTTAGAATGGTGTGAAGTACAATTATAGTAAAAAAGCAAAAATCTGCTATAGTATAACACAGTGAGTCTATCATTTTCATCATTTTTACTAAAAAAAAAACTTTTTAAAAACTCGGTAGTCTATTTCTATGAGATAAAAGAAAATACATGTAATATGGAAGTGTATTTTTAATGAAAGTGCATCACAGGTAGAAAGAATGGGCAATGTAATATGATTAACATTTAACTTCGCACACCTGAGGACGTTCATGTCTGAGTACACGTTTTACCATGCGGCGGTGACAGCATCAGGGCAACATATCCCGTGAAATAGTTACACACAGGAGGGGCTGGCAGGAAACACGGGCTGCTTTCACATTTGGTCATGGTGGACCGAAAATTTGGCTGTATGCGTCAATACAAGAGACATATTTCGTTCGTAATGAAACCATTGTACCAGGTTCTTCGATTTGAACCAACTCCGAGCGGACTTTCGCTAAATGCAATCAGATCTAAAGATTAACACGCCCCCTACTGGCGTTGAGTAGAAAGGAAAAAAAGCTGGTGATTATACGCGTACGTTGGAAACAATAAGAGGTATGTTTATCTGTTAAACTAATTGCATTCAGCGAGAGTCTCCGTGAGTTAGTTCGAACTACTTAGTACGATAGTTGTATTGTGAACGAATCCCTAATCATCCTAAGTCGTCTCAGTCCGATGTCCGATCTAACATGATCTTAACTTGAATAAAACTTAATTAGTGCTAAAGGAAATTCCACCGTTCTTAGCATGGGGAATTGATTAAGACGATACGGTTCATAACGAAGCATCCCTTAATGACTGTGTCAGGTGTTACTGAGGTAGATTACGTAATAGCTACCCCCATAAGCAGATGTCTGCTGCTCAGCTAAAAAATTCCTTCACTCATTAATAACAAATCTTATTACATACTTAATAATTTAATAATAATATAATATGTTTATTTAAAGTCTAAAATCCATAAAATATGTTCTGTAGACTTTACAAACTAAAAACTTAAAACACAGTAAGATGAATTGAATTAATAAAATTATGGCTTAATAGTCTGAGTGAAGATTTATTTAATACTGATTAATTATAATTCTATAATAATAATCAAAACAACTGAATATAAACGCCGTGTAGTCTGTAAAAAATATAGACCTAATATTTACGTGTAGTTCGGCAATAAAGATAAAACCTGAGCTCTCGTGAGAGGCTCTCCCCTGGATTGACTAAGGTCATATAGGCGGTTCTACAGGGCAAGGTTCAAAATTTCATTCATACACGCATACTATCATTAACCAGAAACGTGGCAGTCACGGAATCTGTGAATGTGACGTGCATTAATTTAATATAGGACTTCGTAACATAGAGATGTTACGTGTACAATTGGGTATGGTTGACGTTAGGGACGAAAACCCCCTTCAACATTAGCCCTTTTGTTTAGAAACAAATAATTTGATATATTTGTGATTGCGTAGCTCGTTTGTTGCTGTCACGGATGCCGACGTACAAAGGTGAGTAAATGGTTAAATCTGGGAAGGGCGGATCGCCTCTCCACAGGTAAAGCATTTACACCCTCTCCTCGGAATTTTTCCAAATTTGCGAAAAAAGATTATTGTGACCGTAATGTTTTGTGCTTTTTCAAAGCTGAGTTGTGTACAAGATAAGAGTATAAATAGGCCAACATGTGTATTGTAATGTAGCATAAAGACTACCGGTAAGTCAAGAAAAAAGACGTGGAAATTCAGGTTTTCCGAAAAAGAACCAACCTAATGAAGTTCTGCATGTATTTTTCTGCCCGAAGATTTGGTTAAAGCCACATTTCCTAGTGCGTCACTGAATTTTGATTATATTAGATAAAAAATGGACAGTGCATGCGAAAAGAGTCTAGAGATCTTAATGCCAAAACAGAGGGTCTCGGTTTGCTCGACTGTGTGTGTGTGTGTGTGTGTGTGTGTGTGTGTGTGTGTGTGGTTGCAAAGTATAAATTAACTTGAAAAAAGCAGATTTGAGAGGATAATTCTATGTTTCTAAAATGCACAGAGTCAGTCGAGTCTACCATGTTTCATTTGATAATATCCATACAAATACATTTCTAATTATATGCATGATATGTATGCAAAATTAGCCACGCCAGCGGATACGCATTGTGCATCTACTGGTCATTTGGGGACGTATTTATTGATAATGGTCATTAATGGTCATTGTCTACAGCAAATACTTCCTATTACATAAGACCATAGTGCCACAGGAGATACCAACAGCGATGATTGCACAAATTATGCACACTATACCCAGCTGTGCACCTGAAACGACCGCTCACTGGATTTTTGCGCGACACCCCTCAAGTTCCGGTGTTGAATATTTATGGAGCTTTCCGACCTCTGCACCAAGTTCCAAACTCATACGCAATAAAAAGTTATTTTAAAAGTCGCCGCTTTCTTCAGGTCGAGTTTTATTTGAAAAAAGCTTGAAAAACGCTTACATATGGTCAATAATCAGTGTTCAGGTAAATCATTATTGATTTAAAATACACGTTTAATCTCTGCCTCAGCAGATTTTCAACCAGGCCATGAACAGTAGCAGATTGAAAGAGGGGTGACAGGATAGTCAAGCCATAATATTTGCATAGTTTCGATCAGTACACTTTACATCTATGGAAATTATTTGCACAAATTATCTTCAACATGCCTTCACGTATCACCTACGCAGCACGCTTCTCTGGGGATCGACTCTGTCAATCCATGCCTTTGACACGTGAACGCGTACAATAAAGCTTTTGCTCGTGTTAATAGAAATATAACAGAAAAAGTAAACAACGAAAGAAAATTTAAAAAGATAAACTTTCTTTTATAAAAATGTTCATGTTTTCACACAATGATATCGTTTATCAATTACTGGCAGCAATATTAATCTAGCACACACGCAACATATTTCCTAATGCGAATTATTTTTTCCTGAACATGTTTTGTACTTATAACCGGCATGTCTCTTTGTATATACATTCGTTGACGCATAACAATTTATCTTCTTCCAGACAGCTCCAGCGTTTACCTGGTCCAAAGGAAAAGCAAGCCCACCTATTCAGTCTCAAGAGCGACCATGTCTTTTGCCTTCAACTTCGCCAAGGCAGCGGTGGGCTCGGTTAACGGCTACCTGGACCATTATAACCCGCTTAACAAACTTTTAAAGAGCGAGCCAGTGAAAGTGCTGCAGAAGGACGGGATAGTGGCGGCGGTGTGTGCTTCTGCCCTCAGCCTAGCTTTTCGGTTCGACTTCACGGGTCTTCTCGACCCAGGGGTCGCCACCAGGGACGCTGTGCCGCCAGATGGCTCCACTAACAGTGACGCTGCGGAGGCTGAAGAAGGGGACGCGACGGAAACGGATTCTGCTTTCTCGTCTGCGTCCTCGGACTGGACGGGGAAGTCGCTACTGAAAAGCATCTCAGCACAAACTTTTGAGTATGTTAAGACTTTTGCATCAAAACTCATAGAGACGCCACTGTTCGTGCTTTTTGTCGCTATGTTAGGATTCATGGGTTTTGTTTTCGTCACTTCCTTTACAATTATTATAGGTGTCATAGCACTCTTCGCATTTATCATGACTGTGGTCTTCTTCAGCATGGCGTTTCTGTCAACAATGGGCTTTTTCTGCCTCTTTGTGGCTATTACAGAATTCAGGAAGAAAGGGGGTCAGGCAAGTGAAACGAGAGAACTCTTGTCTTTCACGGAATCGCTCCTCCGACAGACAGGAGCTGCATACAAAATGAGCCATAACGCACCGTTTTCAACGCCGTCAACGCCATTTTCAACGCCATCCTCCACGCCTTTTAAAAGAAAACTAGACTTTGAAGCGTAACGCTCTATAAAGGCCTACTTTCAAACACCTCAAGCAATTATTTTAACTTTTAAATATTTATTAAAATTCTATGTTTTTGGCACATGCCATTATAGTTTATAGGAGGACAAAGTAGAAACGTGAAACGCTTTGTCGCTGTGGTAGAACATTGTAATATATTTAAGTGAATGAGAAATTAATTATTAATATTAATATCAATACTAGTGTTTTATCAAATAATATTTTAAAGCGACTTTGGTGTCGTTTTAATTACCTATGCAGCAAAGTCAATTAGCAATCTTTTAAACGCCCGCGATAAGCAAAAGTGAGAACCACTTAATGCATGTATATTCATGGTCTAACTCCTTCCTACAACGTATTTTAGATATAAAAAAAGAAATGAATTCGTTCACTCTTCCGATGGCCCCTCAGTCGTTGAAATATAAAAGATAATGAACAAATGATTGGCATAAGAGGTGATCTAAGTTTCACGAACCAACGTAAAAATCAAGTGATATCCTGAGGGAGTTCTACATGTACCGAATTGCAGTGTATTTGTAAAAGTGTAGCTAGCCACATAAACCACGTTTTCCCATTTTTGTATTGCTTCATTGGCCGATTCATGATCAAAAAACGATAATGACTTATTAAGGGTCTGAAGGAATTTGAGTTATGGAGGCTAAGGCATAAATAAAAATATTTAAAATCCCAAACACGTTAGATACGCTCCATGAATAAAGAAATTCAGATTAATAGCCAGTAAAAACTATTTGTATTGTAATTTAAAGAGCAGGAAAAGATTTAAAGAAAAGATGATTGGGTTAAATCCATTTAAACAATAATAATAAAAAAAGGGTTTGTCTTAGGTTATTTTTAAAGTTTATTATTATAGACAGTAAAACAAAAAAGTTATGTAAAACATTATTTATTATTTTATTGCATTCCCAAATAAAATGTTACATTTACATTCCAGCTATGCTATTGGCCGACATTTTGCACAGAAACTGCAAACGCCACCAGAATGTCAGGTTGGAATTTCTATTTCTCTGGTTTCAGTGTTACGTACCTTTTGTTTCAGAACGGCAGGTAAATTCAGCATAGTTTTGAATAAGGGGGGTACTCCCCACTAGGGGTTCAACGCTGTCTGCTTCCAATTACCATTTTTGATTTCCACAAATATCTTAAATTTCACATGGCCCCTTTGTCACAAACTCGGTTTCTCGTACAGGAAAATAGCCTCACAAACCAGAAGAAACCCAACAACAAACTGGGCGCTTATTTTAAAAACGCCAGAAAAGAAAACCGAGGAAATGAATGTCGTGATCAAGATAGAGAGCACCCCGACGTATAATTTAACTATGTTGTCCAACTTCTTTATAACTATAGCAACGACACAGCCTGTGATTACAGAGAACAACAAGTACAGAACTAGGAGGAAAACAACAGCTGTTCCATGGGTACCTGAAATTAATAAAAAAAATTATTTGATGCATTACATTAATTGTATTGCGTGCTTAGAGGTTGCGTTGGTTCCCAGTCAGAATAATACATCTGTCATTTCACTGTCGACTGGTCTTTAATTATTGCAGCATGTTTCCTCTGTTTCCAACCGAGTCACAGAGTTGCCAGTCGAAAATGACAAAATGTCATTGAATTGTTAATTACATATATGTATAGCTATACTGGCGAGTCCAGGATATTGCAGAATGGGGGAGCGGCATTCACTATTTGATTTATTTGCCTCACTTTGCTTCTGACTTGGGTTCAATTACTAAGTGAAGCACATTCTCTTTTATGGATAACATTATCAGTTAAGGTCTGGGTTAGAGTAACAATATTTAAGTATTAATATGAATCTGACACAGTAAGAACAAGAAAACAAGAAATATAACCGGCATAACGTATATACAAGAATTCATTTATTTAAACAATTTTAGAATAGAATCGAATTTCTTTAAGCAAGGGATTTGAAAGGAATAAATGGGCCTAGATGATTTTCATTTTATTAATTTGAACACGAATAGCATTTTCAAAATTCATACTTTAGTTAAACCATCAGCAAAAATAAATAAATAAATAAATAAATAAATAAATAAATAAATAAATAATGATCATAATAAATAAAAAGACCAACCACCATTTGTAAACCCAGTGATACCGACCCTTTTGTAGGTGCTACATATAAGAGTAAGACGAAACTCAATCTGGAATGTGCAATGCTATACTTACTTGCATGAAACAGCGGCCACGAGGTGGATGAGGTCCTCAGTTCCACTGCGCTAAAACATGAAGTCACGACTGCACCAAAGAAGTACAACTGCATTTGCTGTTCAATAAAACTTCGATGGTCATTTTTGAAAAGGAACTGAAAAAGATCATTAAAAAAATGTTCAATATTATAAAGCTTGAAAACGAAATAGGCAAATTTCGTTTACATATAGGTACATTTAGTTTTTTCTCATCTTTTGTTCTGTTGAAATGATCGAGACTTTGTCGATAAAACCATTGTCTTCAAATGCTGAAATTTGCCTGAAATCAACATGGGATAGAGGGAGATGCACCGTATAACATGTAGTTTTAACAAACAGTCTTACAGGGAATCCACTTTTTCTTTTAACAAACAAAATCTTTCACACATATATTTGTGACCTAATTTACAATTGTGTGAGAATGATATTTTTATCTGCTTCACATAAACAATATTTTGCTTGAAGGATAAAAAACGTAACATAAAGTTAAATGTCACTGAATATTGTAGTACCTCTGTCAATATGGCTGCCGCCACACAGAGTAAAGATTTAATCGCTGCCAAGGCAATGGCCGCCGGGTGAATATAGTTTCCTTTCAGTGTGTCTCCTGTGCTTTTTGTAACAACTATCCCGCCAATCAGTAAGACCAGGGCCAGCCACTGTATCTTTGTGATGCTACGTTTAAAAATCCACCTGTACGTTAGTGCCGCAAAGATCAACCGCATTTGTATTAAAACTGCCCATACTGGGGGCGAGGTGTAGTGCAGTGCATACACGTTGATGTTATTTGTAGAACCGTATAAAACGGCCGGTAGGGCAAAATATACCGAAAAGCGGGTCTGGAAAAGATTTCCCTGGAGAAGCATTATCGTCACCATGGTGATTAATTTCAATACTTCCGCCCATGCCACTAGTGTAGTCGCTGGTAGTGGGTAAATGTTGTTATTGTAATACTTCATTGCGTACAACGTATACAACTTCCCCACGGCTGAGAGAAGAAAAGCCCCACAGTATAAGATTGCACTGCCACTGCCAACTTTTTCTCGCTCCATTGAGAGGGGTCGTCTGCTGTGTGTAGCTCCAGAGCTATCCATCTCTCCTGTCGGTCTACCATTTTGTCATTTTCCTCTTTTCCTTGACTTACTAGTTAGATCTATGCGTGGCTAAGGGCTATGCATTATTCACCGTCAGCGAGTCGGTTATATTTTTGCAAAACTACAATATTATCATCGCATTATCAAATCATGACCTGCATGTGCAGTGAATCCTTTATGTATGTGCAGGAAAATAGGCTGTGGTTTGAAAAGCATGTATTAATAATACCACGCTCCATATAGACCTTTTCACAAATATTAAAATTTATGTGCACCGCTCCAGGCGAAGCCTCGAGCAAGCGCACTGCGACACGGTAGCCTACAGCGATAACAAGGAGTTGTGAATAAATTTGTGAATTTGCAGTAAAAAGGTCCTTAATTTACTATTAAAAAGATAGATTAGTGTAGTTATGGACAAGGAGTTTTTTTTTTTTTTTTTTTTTTGGTTCCGTTAGTCTGTTTATCTGTTCGCAGCATTATGCAAAAAGTCAAGGACGGATTTTGATAAAATATTCGGTGAAGGCCACAAATGGTCCAAGGAAAAAATGATAAGATTTTGAGGGTGATACGGATTACCACTGATGCGCGCTCTGCGTTGAAGCTGCATAAATAGAAATGTTCCCTCTTTTTATTTCAATTTGATATTACATATGTATCTCTAGACCTCTCTATGGAAAAATAATTAGATCTACAACTATGTAACAATTACAACTGTTTATTGCATTATTTACATATTACGACGTCTCTTAGGCTTCGTTCACATGCAATGTCTATTTTCTAATTTCTATTTTCTATTTGCGCCATCTTATGATCACGGTCTGTGCCCTGAATATCCCGCCGCGTAATTACTGGCAGCGCGAGCCAGTTACTTATAGTAACTTATTATATAGTAACTGGCTCGCGCTGCCAGTAATTACGCCGCGGGATATTCAGGCCACAGACCGTGATCATAAGACAAACCTCAAATAGAAAATAGAATTTAGAAAATAGACATTGCATGTGAACGAAGCCTTAGACATCGTGGACGTCTTGAGCGTGAAGCGCGAGAAGATGACGCAAACAATAACGAAATAAATCCATGGAGACAAATGTAAATATTTTCAGTTGGGCGTATGGCAGTGTGAAAGCTTACCAGCGGGGCTACACCGGTAAAACATACCCTCATGCTGTCAGCAGAGGATGGTTGTAAGGAGATTGGCCAGGAACTGCCAACAGTCGCGGTATATAGGGGTTTCCATATAGAATCACTTTTTAATATATAATTTTTTTTCTTTTTTTTTTCTCGTGGTTTAGCAATTTTCCTTTATGTTAACTTATCGTGCAGCGCAGTTGTATGAGACGTAGGGGGCCTACATGTAGAATCTAACACAGGTTTTCATTTTATTTCGATATGATCGATTATCGAATCCTGCACAAACTTTTGTCTTTTAATTAAAAAAATATTTTACAGGTAAAAGAAAATAGCTCAGCTACTGGAAATGAAGGTAGACAAAAAGGAGCTTTACGGCACGTAGCAGTAATAGACCTAGAGGGATATGAGGATGAAATTATTGTTCCTGATATCACAAGAAAAAGTGAAAAAGTCAAGTTTAAAGCAAAGTCATTTTCAGACGGACAGTCAGTGACCAGCAAGGAAAGTGCAATATGCCGTATATGTCAACTGAATGATAAAGAATCGGGTAAGATAAAAGCTTTGTCATATTTGCACAAACACATATAGGTTCAGAGTCGTCTCGTTTGTAACGATAACATTTACCTACAGTAAATAAACGATTCTGTTTACTACTATAATATACATGTATATAAGGAATAAACTAGATATTCCCAGTACCAATCTCATTTAAAATTCAATCAACTGAAGAATCACACAATTGTTTGCTAACAATCAAGAATATAATTTCCAGAGATGTAACTGTGGGGTATATTTGTCATGGCCTTGATATAAACTATTTCCAATATTTTTTTCCCTAAAGATGACCCTTTCATGGAATCTCCGTGCCGTTGCCAGGGCAGTCTGGGACTGATCCATCACAGCTGTCTCACGCGCTGGGTGACAGTGAAAGGGAACAAGACGTGCGAACTCTGTGGCCAGACTTTCCGAGGTATTCCGGAGCCCGTTTGGGGTAGGCAGCGTTCGAGCCAAAGATCCATAGACTCGAGCGACTCTATTCTGCAGCACGCCCTAGAAAATGCGACCACCGTCGTAAGTTGATCATAGAAATATTCTAAGTTTTCCTTATTTTTTATTTTTTCAATTGCTATATGACAAGTGGATCTGAGTTGATTAATCATTATCTGTTTGTATATCTTTCTTTAAATTTCTTACTGTTTGTCTGTCTGTCTCTTTCCTTCTTTCCTTCCTTCCTTCCTTCCTTCTTTCTTTCTTATAATGTAGATTAAAGAGGATGTCATTTGTATTTCTAGAGCTGCGACTGCTGTAACTGGTGCGACTTTCGACGGAAAAGAAAGTGGGTGGCGCTTATAGTAGTGACGCTATCCGTCCTCCTCGGTGCGTCTATATTCTTAACCTACACCGCCAAACTGAATTACGATGCCACCATTGACAATGCTTACGCCTCTACGAACGACCAAAGAGACGCCAGAGTCATACTGTCCCTGTGCGTATGTTGTCTGAGTTTCTTTTCAACTGTGGAGGTGGTGCTGCTGTTAGTCTGGGCGTTCGGGGAGTGTCTTTTTTACTGCATTGACGCCATGAACCGGGACATGTTGGAAGAGTACATAGCGACTGTGGAAGCCATGAGGCATGGGCGCAACCTGGATGACGATACTTCTGGAAGTCTGACCAGTGACGAAAGCAGCACAAGTTCAGGGACTGTGGATGATATCGATCCTAATGGCGCAGCGCCACCTACAGAAGAAACCGCCACGAACAACATGGCTCCACCCACCTGTGACGTTGCGACAACTCGCAATGACGTCATAACCGTGAATATGACGACACAGACAAGTGGCAGCGGCTCAGCAGAAAATGGAGGTTGCCGTGAAGAAACTGTTTAATCACTTTAACTTGCGGCTTTCTTTCAGTCGAATGGATATAAATCTTTATAACACACAAATTGGAATTTCTAAATGCAATCATGAACGATTTTGGGGTCATAACAAATCAACTTCATTTGTTGATAAGTAGAGACTGAGTCCAGTATGCGACATTTACAGCAAGTAGGGGTACACTTTGTAAAAAAAATGTTGCAGTCATGCACAGAGAGGGTCTGAAATCATGGCGAAAAAGGATAATATTTATGGTCTAGACGACGGAAATAAAAAATGGTTACGAAAACCCTTCTGTATACAAAAGTTTAAATGAGTGAATGACTGGATTGTTGAATTAGGTGAAAATTGCATTGTGCCTTCAAATTAAAATCTACTTAAGTGTTTTGCAACAGCATCATTCTGTTATATGTTTTAACTTACGATTTCACTGCAAGTTACGAGCCACGTGGCCGACTGCAATATTGTTTTGTTACCGGGGTACTATGATTTTGGTGCTGTGCTTGTGTGATAATGAGTAGTACTGGTACTTTGTGAAAACGGAACTGATTTAAAAATCAACGAATTTAAAAGCTACATCACTTTTGTTATTTCTATCTTTCTGCTTTCTGTTTTTGTGTGTGTGTGTGTGTGTGTGTGTGTGTGTGTGTGTGACAAGAACATGACTAAAACGTTTTCTTCGTCTACGTCAAGCACTGCCGTCACTTCGTGGCTATCTGTAGAACGTTGCATATTTCTGTGCATATACCTTATGAGTAGAAAATGAAGAGGTTTTTGAATCCTTCTGCTAATACTTTAAATCCTTCAACTGATACCTACGCAATGAATACCCTTTAACTTACCAGATAAAGGATAAGTAATAAGGTAGGCCAATTTACAATTTTAAGTCTTATAGAAACAGAAACAGCTGTTGCTACATCAAAACGAGTCGTCAGTGACAATCGAATCAAATCCATAGCAGAGCACTAAATGACATCTGGCGGCAGTGAAATTCACAGTGGAGTTAACTGTAATGTTGTAACAAACGTCCTGTTATGACGCCACATAAAACCGTCAAATAACGACGCTGCTGATTGTTGACGTCACAAGTGATGCGCTAGTGAACGGTAACCACACAACCAAAAAACCCACCATCGGCATCACACGGCATGGAGAAGAAGATGTAATTCACGTTAAAGACAAAAGAGCTTCCTTCCAATTTATAGGTCTTTATTCAGTGGGAAATGATTTACTAGTGTTTGCGTTACGCGCATCAACATTGCCATGTCGTCTGAAGAAACATTGCCACCAGTGGAAAATCGGGTAGGTCTAATGTAGGGCCTACATGTATAAAACACCTTTCATTAAAATGATATACATGCAAATACAGCTGTACATAAAAGCAATTATAATAAATAAATATGGAGCTGTACACATAAGCTGTAAGGAATAAATAAACTTAAAAAATAAGTAATAATGAATAAATAAATGAATAAAAAAATAGATAAATTAATTAATTAACAAATAAATCAAATTGAAAATGATTGACAGTAAATTCCCCTAATTTCTGGCATCTGATAGAGGTTTTATACGAAAACTGAAAAAAACATGGTATCTTAAAGTTTTGAATATAATCCTTAATTTTATTTTCTGTTTAAGGATGGGCAACCCGTCAGAAACAGCTCAGACCACAGCCGTCAAAGTACCACCAGCGGAACGAGTGCAATAGAGATAGAGGTCGCTGACGACGGCCAGAGTACCAGTGGGTCTGTGACGCCAGCAAGCGGAGCCCAATCCAGAGAAAAGATCAGAAAGAAGAAGGGAGGAATAAAAACAGTGACAGATGACGACTTGTCTATCAGATCTGCCAGTGACACCAGCAAGGGAAGTGTTGTGTGCCGCATCTGTCAGCTCAGTGAACGGGAGTCAAGTAAGTACCGCAGATTTGTGAAAACGATACTTATCAGCGAAAATACAAAAGACAAATTTATCATTATGAAAGCATGGGCATATTGTCCGATAGAAAATGCAGCAGACGTGTGATTGACACGCTACCGATATTCTTTCATGTAACCCTCTGTTATCGTAGACGTATTACCATTGGGCAGGTGTTAAGATAATTCCTTTTATAGCTTTTTCAACATTCCCATATATATTGTTCGTGCACTTTTTAATAACGAAATTTGCGGAAGCCACAATGAATAGAAACTGATAACGAAGTCTGAAAGTATTTCATATAACGTAAGTAGAGCCAATTACATGTACATATATTCATGTAAATATTATTCAACGTTTTTTTTTCTTTTTACACTTTTTAATCTTTAAGTGAACCACAAAGATATCTCACTACTATCATTCCAGATGACCCATTAATAGAAACCCCGTGTTCATGTCACGGCAGTCTCGGCCACATCCACACCGCGTGCCTCACCAAGTGGGTGACGGTTAAACGAGACCGGTCGTGTGAGCTGTGTGGCCAGCCTTTCCAAGGAATACCCTCCCCTCGGGGAAGAAGACGCGGGAACGTCCTGAGAGCCATAGCATCGGATGATTCTATATTTGATTTCGCAACAGCCGTCGAGGCGGCAAGTAATTCGGTGGGTGATATACATGTACATGTATAATATATCAAATTTGAAAGGATTATTTATTTATATGTGCGTATTAAAAGTATTTCGAAAGGCGATTCTTCACAGGGTACAAGTGAGCATGTTCTGTAACTTACTTCCGACGTTGTCCACCTTTGCATTTCGTCATGATACAAAACTCGGATCATTGGCATGGGTGCTTTCATTGCGCGTATGGCGTTGTAGTAATATTTTTTTCTCTATGAATTATGCTAAAATGTAATTTTATATAGCAAAAGCAACATATGTTTTTCAATTATCAAAAACAAGTGAATAAGTGGCTATCTACTGCTGTTTTTCACTTTCATTTTATTTTGAAAAAAATGTAATGTATAATTATTTCTTTTTCAGGAATACAGCCTTATGAATTATCTCGATTTTCGCGCAAAAAGAAGCTGGGTAGCGTTGATCATAATACTTCTCATTGTATTCGTTGGTGCCTCGTCATTCCTCTCTCAACACGCTAGGGTCAGCTATGACGACGTTCATCTCGACCCTTCCTCCACCAGAAACGAACGAGACGAGGCCAGGCTCATCATGGGCGTGTGTCTCGCCTTTCTGGTTTTCTTTGGAACTTTGGCGGGAGCTCTTCTTTTATTCTGGATGATAGGAGAGTGTTATTTTCTCTGGAGAGATTCCATGAACGAAGAATTACTCATCGAATACCGACAGGTGGTTGCCGAGATGCGCGCCCGAAGACTGGCGGAGATAAACGAGGCGCTGAGTCAGCTGCAGAACAACGATGTCGAAGCGGCTGCTGGTACTGCTGCTGGTACTGACAATCCAGTGGCACCATCTGCCGGAGAAAATTCAAACGAACAACATACAAACAACTCCCATTCTGTTTTTATAGTTTAGTCTTTTAGTGTTCCTATTACGCCAACAGATAAATAAGTTAAACACGAACGTACTGTTTATATATCCGTCCTCATTACTTAACCAGAGAATTTAACAGGGTAGATAGACTTTATAAAGGACAGTAGGCTATACTTTTTTCATTAAACTTGAAGGATTTCAAAATTTGATCTGAAAGACATTCTAAATTTACTAGAAGCATGTTGCGGCAAATTAAATAGAGAGGACGAGTGGCCTTATTTTTGGTCAAAAGTCATCCCCGATAAATTCATATTGCCTATGTGCATATAGGGGGCCTATGTATACAATGTAAATATAAATCTAAGTGTTTAAATATGTTTTAGGCGTTATTGTTATTTACAGTCTAGAAACAGGTATAAATGACTAGCTAAAACAAAACAATAAGTAAACTTTGTGATAGAAATGTACAGTAAGCGACTTTCAAGGATCGCCACACTTTCAGCATCATATTTGGCTATAAAATTAGAATATTTGACCCAGTTTATGTGTATGCAAATATAGGGCTTCGCTGGAAACGGAGACAATATCTAGTCTACTCTGATTAGTTTGTGCAGAGAAGAGATTAATTTGACTACAAATCAAAACAATATTATCAGTGGGAAAAGCAGGCCTCATTTAATAAAGGTTGTGGTCCTATAATAATAATAATAATAATAATAATAATAATAATAATAATAATAATAATAATAATAATAATAATAATAATAATAATAATAATAATAATAATAATAATAATATTATTATTATTATTATTATTATTATTATTATTATTATTATTATTATTATTCAACCGCGTAGACAATTTAATGTCTGTTGGGTTGATGCCGATATCCATGTCTCAACTAACACAGCACGAGTTTGACGATCAGAAGTTGATAATTTGCTTTTCTGTTCGGCCTGTCTTGTCATGTGACCAGGTGGAATTTCAATATGGCTGCTGGGACTTCGAATTTCGTTCTACTTCGAGAATTTTTCGTAATTTTACTGTAAGATCAACTTAAAATTGCAGAATGTCTTCATCTGGTGACCACTTAGAGACAGTAGAGGAGTTAAGACAAGAGATCGAACGCTTACAGAATGAGCTGTCGGAAACTACTCAGGAGAAAGTGCAAGCTGCTGAATACGGATTGGCAGTGTTGGAGGAAAAACAGCTTCTGCAAGCTCAAGTTGAGGAAGTTGAGAGCTTATACGAAGCAACAAAACACGAACTAGAAACAGTGAGAGGGGTAAGCGATGTGTGAGACTCGTTCTAGATTAAAATGATAATGGTTTGTTGTTGAAAATCTGCCGAGGAATCTAGGTGGGTGTTTAAGAAGAATGTTGTAGCTTATGTCCCTTTCAGCTACTGTCTTTAACCTTGGTGCGTCTCATGTCGGGTAATCAGGACACAATACATATTGGAAGCTACTTGGTGCAATATAAAACTGAACATATGAACACGGAAAAGTCTCTTTCCTAATCTATCGGACTCCAATCTGAGGACAGGAAAGGCTTAATCTCTAATTAAGATAACATTTAAGTTGAAGAGATGCTTCTTAAAAACAGTGTGATATCCTCTCATAAGATAAGGTTAGTGTAGAGGCTGATCTTGGTGTGGATAAAGAGAGTGTGGTATGAGTATGGTATAGGGTATTTAAGTATAAGTTGTTATGATATTCCTGATTAGTATACAGGGAATGGGAGATAAAATAGGTTTACTAGTATTATGTTGGTAGATAGATTACACAAGGAAAAAGGTTTGGATTGAGAGTTTATGTCATCCATAATATGGTGTGAGGTATTGAAAGGTATTTTATATAGGGTTTTGACACCAAATCAAATTTTTCTCGAGCATGAACAAGTCGTCCAGCCGTAAAAAACTTAAACAGGCCGTTCAGCAAATTGAAGAGGCTGTCCAAGTGACGTCTGAGTGGTTTCCTGGTCATAGATATATATCAGATGTGTGGATATAGATTTAGATATGGTTTTAAAGAAGAAATGTGTTGATAATGATGAAGTGTACTGTCAGTCCAGGATTCTGGTGGGATACTTGTAACATTACAATAATTAAAGTACTTGATCCATGTTGTCTCAGTATATAAGTATTTTGATAGCCCGTTTTTGTTGTAATGATGGTGATTATTCTGATATATATCAGTAATAATCCACACAATAATAGTATTGTACTGACACCATCGTCTTGGGGGACAAAAAGTGACAACATGGCCATTTAAGCGAGAGATTTTTACAGAAAAAATGTAAGAAAGCAATGCTATCAAAAATGCACTTCTTTACAAGTACATGAAAGAGATTTTTTCACTTTGATGCAGTTCCTTTTAACATTTGCCAAGTAGCCATTGCTAGTGTATTTGAGCTGGGAAAAATGTGCCACAGTCTTTCTTTTAAGCATTATTTTCAGGTCTGCCTTTCCCTGTCCAACTTGGCAACTGTTAAAATGACATTCAGACTCAGTCTACGAAGATAACACTGGTCTTGTGCCAAATGCGAGTACAGTTGAGGCCTAGTCTGTTATATTCTGTTAATTTGTTCAGATGCTGGTCTGCTATAGGCCAATGTATAGGTATAACCTGGTTTGCTGAAAGGGCTGGCAGTCAAAAACAGATCTTGACACAGATTGCAGAATAGTAGTGCAATTTCTGGTGTAACGCTACTGGTAACTGCCTCTTTGCTGCTTCTCCATCCTCTTTGATCTGTTATTGTAGTTCTGTTTTTTCACCCTGACCTATGACTTATGCATTAATTGGTAAAGGATTTACTTTTCCCAACCACAGATATATAAAATGCACACTAGTATCACTTCATATGAGACACTAGCTGAAACAGTGATGTAATATGTGCATATACAGACACAGCTATTGATCCAGTGAGTCCTCTGCCTCCCTGGCAGCGCTGTGAATGGAGACTTTCAATGTGAGCACCTTGGGCAATTGTCTCTATTGGATTTTAAATGGAAGAGTTCAGTTTAAGTAGCAAGTGGAAACATTATCCCAGGAAAGCTGTTAATATAAAAGCTAAATTGATAATCTGATATGATTTAGTGGGTGCACCATTGAATGCTGTATAAGCACTTAATTCATCTGTCATTACTAGCTATAGCAAATGCTCATGGCTGCATATAACTGGTATGACAGGCTCCCTGTACTTGCCAAGCATGCAAATTTTAACACACATATTTGCTTTATGCTCATTTGCAAATTCACCTCACCCATATCCATGTATCCATGATGTGAGAATTCTTTTTAGATTTGTTAGAACCTTTTCTCGCAGTGCATCTGAACCAGGGTATCTTATGTAAATGAAACTTTTCCTGTAGGTTGAAGTTAATTTGCCATTTGAAAGTAGCTAGTCCACCTTCATTCTTAACCAAGTTTTCAATTTTATTCAACCTGCCAATCTGTTGTCAAACTGTCTAAAATAATACAGTCAGCCAGCTGACAAAAGGCAGCCGATACTAGCACTATGCTAGGTGAAGTGGGTAGTGCACACAGGAAGACCATAAACCATAGATTGTGCCTAATCTGTTTTATCAGATAACCAGATTACAAAGACACCTTATGCCTTTTCTCCTTAATCTGTTAAGTGCAAAAGGTGTGTATTTTTACAGATCTTCTTCCTCTATCATGTTGTGTGTCACCCACCTTCATATCTTATGGTGCTCTGGGCTTAATGCCAGGTTTACAGTGGTGTAAATCATTTTATAATTGCTAGTATCACCTGAATAAAGGTAAACATTCATTTATTAGGTTTGATAATTTTATGAACCATATTGGATTGTTGCACTGAAGCTGGGAGACACTAAAGCTCTGGGGCCGGTTTCACAAAGCAGTAGTTAGTTAGCAATCGGTAGTTAGCCTCTTGCTAGTTATAGTGCCGTTTCACGAAGCAGTCGCTAGTTCTCTCGCTCGTTATTGTATCGTTGTTGCCTTGGATATTTAACGACTGGTCAGACCAGTCGCTAACTCTAGAGTTTCATCGTACGCATGCGTAATGAGTGAAATAAAAAGGTTGCTTAGTTACCGTTGTCTGTCGTTTGTCTTTGTATCCAATATGGCGGCTACTTTTCTTGCTATCCGTACCGCCAGACGGCAACGTAGACTACGGCGTTTTCATGAAAGGCAGAATCTATTAGAATATACACACGATGATGCAATTTACGAGAGGATGCGCCTAGCTGTGACAAAAAGAGCGGCAAAAAGGTGGTGGAGATCCTTTACGACGACCTCAAAGCAGACGTTCTTATGCATTTCCAGCCACCAAAAATTGGAGAGTTAGTGCTTTTGTGACACTTTTACGCAAGAGTTCCACTTCCGGCAGACGGTTTCGAGACTACGGTGAGTAACGAGAGAACTAACGACCGAACTTTACGACTGAACTTGGCGATGAGTTAACTACTGCTTCGTGAAACACCCCTCGAAAATCGCTAAGTTTGCTCGTTAGCGAGGTAGTTCAGTAGTTAGTTGTTCTAACTAACTACTGCTTTGTGAAACCGGCCCCTGAATGTTATGAATTTAGAAAGGTAGTTTTAATATTCTGCAGACAATGAGAATGTCAAACAACAGACTTACTATAGGGGTAGCATTATGATGAATTATTTTGGAGCCTCCAAGCAGACCTGTAATAGTGTGTAGGGTGAGGCATGGTTTAAATAGGTCAGTAAATTTAAAGAGACACATTCACACATGACTCACATTTAAATGCCTTGAACCTATCTAGGGTCATTATAGCCTGCATATTTCTAGTGGAAGATAAATGGAGCCATTTGAAATTGAAATGTTACTAAAAACCATTTCTTCAGACTACTTTTTCCTCTGTAACTCAGAATTTAAGTGTAGTGAAATTGACCATTTTCTTTGCGCTTTCATTATCTAAAGATTTTGAACTTTTTTTTTCATAAAACTGATTTACACTTATTTTTGGGATAATATTCAGATTTACTTTTGCTGAATTTGCTAGCCGCAGAAGCCTGAGTGTTAAGTGAAAAGCAAGCCAAATTAGAAGTTAATGGCATTATTGATCTGTTTTTTAACAACCAGATAAGAAGTTGGACCTGGTCGGCATTGCCTTTGGTTTACACTTGCTCCTGTATGTCATTAATAAGTAATGAAGACTTTCATAGGGCCCTCTGTTTTCTTTATTTCAGTCAATTAAACATTATAAAGAATCAGTTTACAATGCTGTGGGCATATACACTTCTCTATTGGTGTAAGAGGAGCTACTTTTGTTATATATAAGGTGGCTAGTCTAGTTAGTTAGGGGCAGTTTTGTCCAGTGTTGGGAATATTTTCAGGTATTGAAAGGGTTTGGTCAATTCACAGAACAGATCTAATAGACTATTTTATCATGTTTTCCAGCTGAGTTAAGGAAAAATACAATTACCCCTGGTCACCAAAGTGCATAAAAATTGCAGATTTTTTTTTTTTTTTTTTTTTTTTTTTGCAATATCTGGTATCTGTTTTGGATTTTAGCTTCAGAAGTGTGGGATTTGTATAGGCATCTTTTTATCATAATTCTGTTAATTAATGCATCTTTTAGACCAGCTTCCATTTTCAGCATGGAGCAAGTCATAAGTGTTCAATGATCCCAATATGGCATACAAATACTTAATATATATAATATATGATATTATATAATTTAACATGTGACATACTTCACTATATGATAAAACTCAATGATAAAACAAATGCCTTAAATCAAAATTGAACAAGAGTCAGTATTGATAATATTTTATAAATACCTGTGTTTTTTTACCTTCTAGTACAGTATGTAGTATATATACTAGATACCTGTGTTTTTTTACCTTCTGGCCCAGGTATGTAGTATTTGTTCTATACAGCTGTGAGCAGGTCGGGTATTATGTCTGGGGCAGGCTGCTGGTTATATTTAGCTTCACACTCTACTGTCTAGAGGCTCATTCCCAATGAAACTATACTAGTAGTTTTACGTAGATGGATTCAGCTATGCATGGAATCTTACTGAATGAAATCAAATTGACAGTTTTTAAACTGTTAAAACATGCCTTCTTTTTGCTTTGAGTAGAATGCAGAGAAGATGTGATTATAATACGAGTACATTGGAAACAGGAGGTGTGTTAATCTGCTTTGTGTACAGTTGATGCCTGTATAGGATGTTGTAGGGTTAGAGATGTGCATACTAGTAGTCTGAGACCCCATTTCCATAGATTAGATCGACCTACTTTGGATCGACCTAACTCCCTGGGGGTTCGTGCTGAATAGCTGTCAGCCGGGCGGACACGAAAGTTAATTGCCCCTTACGGCTTGTAGTGGGCGGGGACGGACACTTAAGGGGGATTATCTGACGGTAGTCTGGTGAGACTCCCCGCGGTGATAGATCGATCTAAAGTTGTGGGAATAGACCCTGAGATGCGCATTGGGCTATGCACATGCATAGTCTGTACTAGATATATATGCATATGATATAGTGCACTTATAGTCTGTACTAAACACATGCAGAGTATGCATAAAGCATGTGCCTGGTCTGACCTAATTGCCCAGTTAGCATGAATTTTTCAACCAAATAATATTTAGGCAAATGAGGATATTTGATGCAGTGATTTATATTCCCAAATAGTGTCATTTTTGTCTTAAGAAAAATTGTACTAAAGCATATGCTCCCCCTCTGCAATATAAAGACAAAGTATTTAGCTTACTGATAATATATGGTATAGTTTTTAGTGCCAGGTAAAGTAGAAAAAACTTGGCATTGTGACTAATACACGTCTGTGGCTTTGAAGGTTGGAGATGAATTAAAGCAGAGGAAGCAGTAGGTCTTGCTGAGGGCTGTAGAGTGGCTGATTCACCAAAAAAAAAAAAAAAAAAAACTTAACCCTGCATTATAACCAGCTGTTAGTATGCATTTCTACATCTTGACAGCTCCCAAACTCCCCGTTGTCTTTAACAGTCAGTCTACTATTAATAGGCCTTTTATAGGTGAATGATAAATTATTGTGCAATTTGAATATAAGTTAAAGGGATAATAACTCTTCGTATGAGATCTATATTTCACAATAAAAACATTGTGAACAACTCATAGAAATATAATATATTCTGTTTTACCACAAAAACGGCAGTTATAGCTATTTTTTCTGATATCTGAGCTTGTCTTTAGATCACATGACCTACATTGATGGCTATACTCTGTTAAATTCTCTTAAGAGATTTTAACAAAAAACCAAACTTTTTAGAAAAAAACCAGGGACTAACTTTGAATGTAAAAATGGATTCATTAACCATTGGTAAGTATGGGAAAATTGTTGTTTACTCCAGGAAAATTCATTTTTTGGCCGAAACAAAGAGTTATTATCCCTTTAAGTAATTAATAGTGGTGAAAATGATAGTACAAAGCTTTGGAGAGATCATTGTGTAGTGTTTTAGATAAAATAATTCTAATCATATACTGTTATACTGAGAGTGTTAGAATTAATGTAGCCAGTCGGTAATAGCATTCGGTCTAGTTTCTAGCCATCTCTACGTATATAAATGTACATTAAATACAGAAAGCATATTATAATGCAGGGACTCTTAGTAAACACCTACTAGTAGCGAATAAAGCGCATAGTGCTATGGTCACATGACATCTTTAGATAATATACCACTACTACTGTAGTCATTGAATGGGATGTGCTATGCATGGTAGACTTAGGGCCTATAGCCTCGTTCATTCTCAGAATTCAACATTCTTCTAATGGCTTGGAGGTGTGTTGTAGACCGTATCATATCATAGGAGTTGATCTCATAGGAATGTTACTCATCAGTTTTCTCAGTGTGCTGGCACTAGATGATGGGCATCTAACACAGAGATTGCGTATCATACTATGGGTAGAATTTTTATATTATATGAATGTCCACCCCCCCCTCTGCCCCCTCTCCCTCTCTCTCTCATACAACATCAGTTTTACTAGTTTTACTACTTGTTACTATTAACATACATGAACTAGGCCAGAAAAATGTTGCTAGTTGTGTTTGGTGTAATGAAACATGTCATATCACCTTACAGAAATTTATTTTGGATTATCAAGGTTCCATGGCATTAAAGGTCTATGATAGACACAAAATATAAACATTGTTATACTGAAATATACCAGTATATATATATAAAATCTCGTGTCCTGGCCTGGTAATAAATTAGAAGGTATTTCAGGTGAAGTGTCTGATAAGACTGCTTCCCCTCAGGTGTAGTGTGGTGTCCAGGTGTAGATGTAGATCTTAAGGTGTTCTTACCTGTGTAAAGGTATGGGGATGTCATGGTTGGCTTCCTGTCCTGTATGTAATCAGGTGGGAGAATCTAGACACCTCTGTTGGGGCAGATGGCTGGTTTACATGCAGGGCTATTTCTCTGTGTGGTGAAGAGGTGAAATGCTGCATGCATGGGTGAAATATGGAATGTGCCCCCCCCCACCCCCCCCCCCCCGTATTTCTTGAAAGAAATGTGCTGCTTGGTACCCTTCACTCCTCTTTCCCATTCAAAAAAAAAATAATAATAATAATTAAGTTAAAATAAAGAATAAAAAGACAGTGAAATAAAATTAATCTTCTCTCCAGCTCAAGCAATGCTATGAAATTTTATTATAAATCTGGTACATAATCGTCTGCTCTGTCTACTTCAGAAACTTGACCAACTTCAAGTGTCCCAGAAGAAGCAGAGTCAGGTTGGAGTGAGACATGAGGAAAGTCTTCTACACGAGACGGTCACCAGGGAGGAAGAACTACAGGCCTACATACGGGAGCTGGAACTGGACTGCAAGGCAGCCAAACAGGCTTTTGAAAGGTAGGGTGGGTGAGTGGGGGGCTGCTTCTTGGTGAAGCTCATTATTTTTAAAATGAAAAAAAAGGAGAAAAAGAAGTTTGTTGTCCAATGATGTCCAGTACCAGATTTAACCAGACCTTTTAACCTGGAAGATGGGGCAACTTTTAGAAATAGACGATCAGTAGTTCGTATTGCTGTTCATTGACTTTTTGATTTGAACAAATATGAAATTTTAACTAGAATTTTAATCTGTTAACTGCTACTAATAACATTTTGTTAACTTTTTTCAACCAGGCTAAAGACAGAGAATGAGCGCCTCCAGGCCTTGTCTAATGAGCTATCCCAGCAGGGAGAGTCTACACAGAGCCAGTGTGCACAGCTGCGGAAAGAGAACAAGGAACTGAAACATCGAGAAAATCGCAATCTCACAGATTATGCAGAGCTGGAAGAAGAGAATGTTTCGTTGCAGAAACAGGTTCTTCAGCTTAAGCAGGCACAGGTGGATTACGAAGGCATGAAACACGAGCGCAAACGTCTCCAGGAGGATGTGGAGTATCTTACTGCTCAGGTGGAAGAAATGGCACACCTGAAAAACATTGTGGAAAAAAATCTAGAAGAGGCCCTCGCTGCAGTTCAGCTTGAGCGTGAACAGAGGCACTCTCTGAAAAAAGAACTCGATCAGCGCATTGAAAATGAAAGGTTAAAACTGATGCAGAGTAGTTACAATGCCCAATTCAGTGGACTGGATTTTAATGATGGTTTCAAACTCGGTGGCCATGATGAAAACAACCACGAGTTTGAGATCGATCACAACAGTGATCAGCCAGCCCTGAAAAGGATCGAGGCAGACTTTTTAGTGTCGACACCAAAAATTGCCCCTGTTACGCCGGTCCAGGGGGACCTGTTCAGCGAGATCCACCTCACAGAGGTGAGAAAGCTGGAGGAGACCCTGGAACAGACTGAACTGGAAAAATCAGAGATTTCACGGAATTTTGAAGAATCTCAATCACAGCTGGAGGAGCTAAAAAAGGAATTGGAACTTCAAAAGGAGAAGGTTCAGTCCCTTCAGGCCCACATTAATGCAGTGTCCACTGTCCAAGATGCCAAGTCCCTGGTGGCTGAGCTGGACGACATGGCAATCGTTGACGGGGACGAAAACATAGAGGGTATGACAGAAAGTGAGAAAGAAATTCACCAGCTCAGAAAAGCACTTCGTAAACAGGAACTCCAATACTCCACTGCTGTGCAGCAAATAAATGAACTTCAGGCAGCCATGACAGGTGTCAAAGCTGCCGATTCTGGCGATGACCAAAAGGATGCAATGTCAAAGCTCCAGTCTAAGCTTAGGGAGTACGAAGACACCATGCAAAATCTCCGATCTGACCTCAGTGCTGCGACAGGTGTTCTGGGTAATACTCAAGAGGAGCTGATTCGCGTGGTGGAGGAACTGGCACAGCTGTATCACCACGTGTGTGAAGTGAACGGTCAGACGCCGAGCAGGATAATGCTGGAGCACATCAAGGGAATGAGCAGTTTCACTCGCAGGGACAGCAGCAAGGATCTGGAGGAAAGCGGCAAAGAGGGTTCTCCTGCTGATGCTTCTGAGAATGCAGACAACAAAGGTTGGGGGTTCAGATACATTGATATTATTTTAACCTGGAAAGAAGGTAGATGAAAAGAACAAAAGGTCCTTGGTTTTGAGAATTCATTGTATTTTAGTGAAAAATATATATGATTTTGATTTTTCCTTTTCCACATTCAGAGCTGTGCTCGGTCTTCCTTTTTTTCTGACACATGAAACTTTTTTGGGAGTTCATTGTAAGAGAGTGGAGTGGAGGTTAAGAGAGTAGACTGATTCTGTAAGATTCTATTTTCTCAAGAACATGACTGAATTTTTGTCTTCCCATTACAGGTGACTCCCAGCAGCCAAAGAAAAAGGAAGAAGAGTCTTCTTCCAGCAGTTCTGCTCCATCAGGAGACCCCATGGCATGCTGCAAGCTGACAGAAACTCTGCAAGACCAGGTGAAGCACCTGAGTCGCGCTGTCAAACGCACAATAGAGGCAGCACAGAAGAACAAAGACGGCGATAACATGACGTCTGACGTCGAAGAGCTCCAGGACCAGATTGTGAAACTCAAAGCCATGTTGTCCACCAAAAGGGAACAGATTGCTACGCTGCGCAGCGTCCTCAAGGCCAACAAGAACACCGCAGAAATCGCCCTCCAGAATCTCAAGTCCAAGTACGAGAACGAGAAGTCCATAGTGACCGACACCATGATGAAGCTGAGGAATGAACTGAAGGCATTGAAGGAGGATGCTGCCACATTTTCCTCCCTGCGCGCCATGTTTGCTCAGCGTTGTGATGAGTACGTCACACAGCTAGATGAGATGCAGCGCCAACTGTCCGCAGCAGAAGAGGAGAAAAAGACCCTCAACTCCCTCCTGAGAATGGCAATACAGCAGAAGTTGGCTCTGACTCAGAGACTGGAGGACCTGGAGTTTGACCGTGAGCGTCGCAACGTGCGCAGCCGCCAGGGAGGGCGAGGAAAACCCAGCGGCAGAGTAAGTCACAACAGTCACTCTCCTTACGATGACCGTCATGCACGTTATCCCAAACGGGACTACTAACCTCCTTCTGCTGTAGGTCCACAGTGATGGTGGTTGGTTAACGATGAACTGACTTATAACCCATGCCCAGTGTCCAGCCGTGGTCAGTCTCCTGCCACTGACCTGAACAGTAGTTGATTGTTGGCTCTCAGTTGAGGTGCCCATAACACATTTCGAGAGTTTGGTCTTAGTTAGGTTTTTCTTTTTCTCATGCATTCGTTTGCCGCAAATGTAAGATATGCCAGTTTTGCCGGTGGCTAATGAGGAGACCAGACTCTTTTATATTTCGGTTGGTGGCACCCGTCTCTGATTGAGCCAGAGAAGAGGAAGGCTGGAGGGGTGGCGAGATGCTCTTAAACCTGAGGAGATTAGAAAGCAAGGCATATTAGTTTTTTGCAAGTCATTGTTACATCATTGTGTAAGCAGAGAATATCACTACCATAGTAGTCATTAACTAAACGCTTATGACTAATATATGAATGAATGTTTTCACTTTGTAAATACAGACCAGTTACTTAATTTGTGAAATATTTTGATTTAGACTTGCCTTGCCTTCTTTTCTCTTCATAAAAATGAGCTAAAAACAACTAACAGTCCAAACCATTGGGACAATTACAAGGCTTGGGACGACCATGGTCAAGCAGTAAGCATCTTTTTGGTGGTCAAGATGACCGTGGTTGTGTCCTTGGAGCCTATATCTGAAGTTTGTTTCAGCAAACCAGAATTTCACAAAGATTTGATTGGAGGGGTAAAAATTCACTTTGATACAAGTATTAGCCTGGGCTATTACTTTGTGAGCACAGCCATCTAATTTGGCTGTAAATGATTGCAAAGCATGGTTTCTAGTCTAAAAGTTTCACTGGAGGAGAGAAAAAGAAAAAGAAAATCTGTTATGTTTATCATCTTGTACAGGTGAATTCTATCTGGAAAAGAATGGTGCAAGAAATTTTAAAATTGATCGCGAAAGTGTTAGCACTCTTCATCATTGCTGTTGCTGTTTATGATTCCCAGAATAAGGCAAATAACATTACTGCATGAATAATTGGAATTTATTTATCTCAAAGATAACTTATTAATTTTAGATAAGGAATATTACTGATAACAATTAACAATGATGTTTTCGTTAAGTTTAAACTCTGGTTATCAGTGTTTAAAAAGGAGGTGGTGGCTTAACATGAATTGTATACAATTTCCATTTATGTAATTTCCCTTCCAGTATTTATTGTCATAGTTATAACTAATATACTGTATTCTCTTTTAGTATTATCGCTACTCATACTACTAGGTAGGGTCATTGTATAATATTAAGTTATGCATGCTGATGACGGCAGGGCTGCACCCCGGGGCTGAGGTCAACACACACACACACACACACAGAGATATCCCTTTATGCATTTTGAGGGAGTGATTCCTGGCAGAATGATCTGAACCTCGGGGCGACGCCCGCCGAATAATGTGACTGTATTATTACATTTCAGTTACATTGTGTGACAATCTGGATTCTGTTCTTATATTGATTTGGTTACAAGGTTGGAGACTTGTATTTTTGTTTTTACTTACTGTTAATATTGAAGATGTGAACTGTCATCTTACTTAACCTGCCAGTCTAACTGCAAAGGAACTGTTCTTCCCTATAGCACTGTCAGCTAATATTCTGTATAAGATTTACAGCCACTTCTTTAATATGTAACTTTATATTATAACATTGTAGACACTGTAAATGATACTTTGTTTTACAATGTTTCATAATTTTGATAAACTTTTTTTAAAAAAGAAAAATTCTCTCCTTGGTGGTGGGTTGTTGGATTGAAGGGGTTTTTATCACAAATTCACGTGCCGTTTTTGTTTTTCTTCTTTCTCAGCGAAATCGCCGTGAGCGTGATCATCGTGATCAGTGGCACTAACCACCCAGGGGAAGGTAACCAGTTATATTGAGAGATATGATTTTATCATTTCTGATTATTTTTTTATATATAAACATATTTATATTTTTGGGTGTAATGTTTGATGCTAAGGGATTTCATTTACTTATATTTCGTATGTGTAGCAGTAAACGCACACCTATTATAAGATCTTGTTGCTATGGCATGAAAAAAATTTTTTTTTTTTTTTTTTCAATTTTTGATCAGCGAATCGACTGTGTATGGACTTGACAGTGGTTATAGGTTGAGGACAGTTCCTTTGTATTGGTACATTGTCAGGGGTGGCAGGTTTACAAATGGATAAACTGTTATGGCTTTTAGCAAGTTGCTTGTAGTTTTAACCACGTACATTTGTCACATGTATATGTTGATTTTGAAAATATGTTCTATGATATGTGCATTTTAAAGTGTTGTGTATAATTACTGTTGAACTGTTTGTGTTATTATCGATACACAGTGACAATTATTTATACTTCCTTTTTTACATCAGACAAGTTCAGATTCAGAAGAAGAAGAAGCGCCATCATGAAAGAAAGAAAGAAGAGAGGATGTTAAGGCTAAGCTTGATTGTGCTTTACATGTCTCAAATGCATGAACTGCTATAAGTTTGTGCAGACGGCAATGTGAGCATGAAATCTTACTGTAGGTGGCACTTGTAGTGCCAAGATGAGACCAAACATGATACAGCTATGCTCAAAGTACTGATGTGGTATAACTTTCTGGTTGAAATTATATAGAAATACATGAGTAAGAACTTGTACAATGGCTTTAAAAGGTCATTGAAGTCTTGAAGTCTTTAAGTTATAAGGGTTTGGGTGAGCAGAATGATGAACCACCCCAGACAAGAGCAATGCTGTAGACATTGTAAATGCAGTGCTGTGTGACTGTATTCTATGTAGCTTTATGGCAGCAATGTACGGTGTACACCTTACACCCTGAAGTTCAGATGCTGTCTGTGGGTGCAGTACATGCAGCTTTATGATGGCAGTTCATGGTGTACACATCACATGCTCCATGGCAACAGTGCATGTTATACATATTACATTGCTCCATGGCAACACTGCATAGTGTGTGCCTTACACCCTGAAATTCAGAACATTGATAGAGAAACACCTAAGACGACTGATGGTTAGACCACTTTTTAAATTCTGTTAACTGGACACAGTTTTGGCATAGAATGAAATGTTATTCTCTCTCGATGTTCTTGAGCTGTGGAGTTTTGGGCTTCTCCAGATACACTTGAAATGAGTTATGTATGTCATTGGGGAATTCAAAAATTTGTGTATCTGTTATGATAAAAAGATACCAACACAAACAGTCGTTGAGATTTAAAAAGACTAATTACTTTATGTAGATTTATAAATAACAATGATTTGTTCTATATGCAATTGATAAACCAAGTCATGATGTTATATTGCTACTAGTACTAATATATTGTACATTAATGCATCAAGAGATGCTCTAATAATTTGATATCGGCTTTTTTGTAAATGTGCAATTTTGTAATGGATCTTTTCCTTCCAGCTGTTCTCCTGTTCGTTTATTTAATTAATCTCTGATCATTTAGTCTTTCATCTTATCAGCTGAGTGGATGTGTTCTCCCTGAAGTTTAAACACAAGGAACACAAAACGAAGTGCCATGTTACCCTGTGGGCAGAATGTGTACACAGGAGCAGTCAAATTACACTTACTTTTTTTTCGAAAATTATTTAATGAACGGTCATGGATTATCAGATACTTGTTCTGAAAATGAGGGCAGGTCAGTAGTTGATATGTATATTTATTGAGACGAGGTGAAGTGAAAGGTTTTATGTATTTAAAGTGAAATTTTCAGTAGTGTCTGGGCAAAGAAATATAATCAAAAATTTTTGTGGGTGGGTGGGTGGGATTCGACTACTAGTTTTGATTGTCTTTCAGTGTAATTTGGAAGCATCAGCAGAAATGTTTGAGGTTACTTTTAAAATGACATTCAAATGGGAATTTTAATCACCAGCAAGATTTTAATGTATAATATTAACAAGACAAACTGGTAGAGCTTTTAATATAAATTATTATGTGCACACTTTTAGTTACTTTGTTTTAGATTGGTCAAGGCATTTTACTGTTAGAAACAGTCCACACTTCTGTTACCAACTTGTAGGTTATGAAGCACGAGTTCAAAATACAGGTAGTTCTGTTTCTGTAGAGTATGTAGATTTATTTGAGTTTGACAGGTTCCTTCTAAAGCTAAATGCAAAATTTAAGTCTGGTCTCCTAACCTTGTGTATATGCTCATCAACTGTGCAAGGTNTGTGCAGACGGCAATGTGAGCATGAAATCTTACTGTAGGTGGCACTTGTAGTGCCAAGATGAGACCAAACATGATACAGCTATGCTCAAAGTACTGATGTGGTATAACTTTCTGGTTGAAATTATATAGAAATACATGAGTAAGAACTTGTACAATGGCTTTAAAAGGTCATTGAAGTCTTGAAGTCTTTAAGTTATAAGGGTTTGGGTGAGCAGAATGATGAACCACCCCAGACAAGAGCAATGCTGTAGACATTGTAAATGCAGTGCTGTGTGACTGTATTCTATGTAGCTTTATGGCAGCAATGTACGGTGTACACCTTACACCCTGAAGTTCAGATGCTGTCTGTGGGTGCAGTACATGCAGCTTTATGATGGCAGTTCATGGTGTACACATCACATGCTCCATGGCAACAGTGCATGTTATACATATTACATTGCTCCATGGCAACACTGCATAGTGTGTGCCTTACACCCTGAAATTCAGAACATTGATAGAGAAACACCTAAGACGACTGATGGTTAGACCACTTTTTAAATTCTGTTAACTGGACACAGTTTTGGCATAGAATGAAATGTTATTCTCTCTCGATGTTCTTGAGCTGTGGAGTTTTGGGCTTCTCCAGATACACTTGAAATGAGTTATGTATGTCATTGGGGAATTCAAAAATTTGTGTATCTGTTATGATAAAAAGATACCAACACAAACAGTCGTTGAGATTTAAAAAGACTAATTACTTTATGTAGATTTATAAATAACAATGATTTGTTCTATATGCAATTGATAAACCAAGTCATGATGTTATATTGCTACTAGTACTAATATATTGTACATTAATGCATCAAGAGATGCTCTAATAATTTGATATCGGCTTTTTTGTAAATGTGCAATTTTGTAATGGATCTTTTCCTTCCAGCTGTTCTCCTGTTCGTTTATTTAATTAATCTCTGATCATTTAGTCTTTCATCTTATCAGCTGAGTGGATGTGTTCTCCCTGAAGTTTAAACACAAGGAACACAAAACGAAGTGCCATGTTACCCTGTGGGCAGAATGTGTACACAGGAGCAGTCAAATTACACTTACTTTTTTTTCGAAAATTATTTAATGAACGGTCATGGATTATCAGATACTTGTTCTGAAAATGAGGGCAGGTCAGTAGTTGATATGTATATTTATTGAGACGAGGTGAAGTGAAAGGTTTTATGTATTTAAAGTGAAATTTTCAGTAGTGTCTGGGCAAAGAAATATAATCAAAAATTTTTGTGGGTGGGTGGGTGGGATTCGACTACTAGTTTTGATTGTCTTTCAGTGTAATTTGGAAGCATCAGCAGAAATGTTTGAGGTTACTTTTAAAATGACATTCAAATGGGAATTTTAATCACCAGCAAGATTTTAATGTATAATATTAACAAGACAAACTGGTAGAGCTTTTAATATAAATTATTATGTGCACACTTTTAGTTACTTTGTTTTAGATTGGTCAAGGCATTTTACTGTTAGAAACAGTCCACACTTCTGTTACCAACTTGTAGGTTATGAAGCACGAGTTCAAAATACAGGTAGTTCTGTTTCTGTAGAGTATGTAGATTTATTTGAGTTTGACAGGTTCCTTCTAAAGCTAAATGCAAAATTTAAGTCTGGTCTCCTAACCTTGTGTATATGCTCATCAACTGTGCAAGGTCTGGTAAAGGTTGAAGTTAAAAAAGATAAAAATCTGTTGAATTGAAAAGCAGAAGTTGATAAGCATGTATTCACAATTTCATTATGGATGCACAAGGTTAGTTCTAGTTAGTTCTGTCTTAAAATACTCATTATTAAAACATAAGTTTCCATCTTTTGTGAACCAGTTTTCAATTTTAAACATAGGATGTGGTGGTTTTGTTTGAAACATTTAACTAACTGGATGGATAATCTAACCTAACATGTCTTGATGTAAATGAATGTGATATTTTTTGCAAATGTGATGACAGTTTGTGGCATTGCACCAAGGTTTGTAATCTCCAGGGATTTGATGTGTAGGTGGATGTGGGCAAACTGTCACTTTGTAATATCTAGTTGATCAAACCTAGGTAAAAATATTCAGGCACCTTCAATGCACCTTTTATGTACAATGCCGTAAAACAGGTTTTAAAAATTTACAGACGAAGAATTAAGTTTTTAAGATCAATATTCTCTTATTGTTAAATTTAAATGTTAATTGTGGATTAAATTCACTACCATTTTACCATACGTACGACCCACCATTTACAATAATAATAATAATAATAATAATACAAACAGGTGATATTTACTTGGTTACAAGTTATATGTATTTACAATTGTCTGTGTAATTCATGGAATTGTTACAATGTATCACGTAATTGTTACAGTGTATCATGTAATTGTTACAATATATCTATATGTATATGGTTTGTGTAGGCCCTGCTAGCACTGCCAGAGCTTTGTTGATAGGCTGTCTTGGATTTGAGGTGAAGGCTGTACAATGGGTGGGAATGTCGTCTGCACCAGTCTGAACTCCATATAGAAATAAACTCAAATGTTATACACACATGGTGTTGATTTCATGTATAGAATCTTGTTGATTTCCAATAAATTTTGTTTGAAATGGTATTAAATTGAAGTCAAATGATAAATTGAAAAGGATTTGGAAGCCATTTTTAAAATTTTGCAAATTTAGATAATGAGTGAAAATGCTTATTTGAGATTATGCTTGCAGTCTGATAGAAGTAACTTTGCAATTTAAAAGAAAAGGTAGCTTGACATATGAACAGTTGTTGCATGTAAAATACAGAGAACTTTGTGGTCTAACAGTAACCTGCACAGCAGGGTTTATTTGTTCCATTTCTAGAAACTGAAAAAAATCAGAACTTGGAAACATTTGACATAAATTAAAGCAAAACTGATCGTAATTTTTTTTTTTTTTTTTTTGCAAAAGTTAATATGAGATAACAATTATGATATCTTTCCTAACAGTAATCTGAATGCAGATCTGCGGTATAAAATGGCCACAAATTTGCCATCTATTTTAGTTCTATATTGTGGATTTGCTGAAGCAAATACAAAGCTTTCAAAAGTGAGTTTTGCCTGGTGCATTACTCAAGAGCCACCTATAGAAGGCACTTGACACTGATTTCAAGGAAAATTTGCCAGAAGAGTACACTGACCATTTTACAGCATTGTTCCCTGATGTAAGTGTAACTTGTTCCCAGAATCTGACACTTGGTAAAGGAACCTAGAGTAGCCACAATTACAATGCATTGAAAAATTGGGGTATCTGCGTTATGTGTTTCTGTCAGTTTTGCAACACCTGGCACTCAATCCATGTTACGCGTTTCTCTGCCATTACTTTATCTGAACCCATGCCCAATTTTTAACCTTCAGGCGGCGAATCATGCCTTTGTCTGATTGTAGACATAATCAGCAGAAATCAGCTGGCACCTCATCATCATTCCATTGCACAAAAGGAATTTGGCGCATGCACTTTTGTGCAGCTTGCCTGAAATAAAGAGTAAACAAAATTATATAAACAGGATTCCATGTTGTCTAAAAGTTTTAATGTTAGTGAAGTGCTGAAAATACATATGTGTATGCTACCTAGCCATAATCCAAACTGGCAATGTGTCACAGACTTTCTACTTTGGCATATTAAGGATGGATGGATGGATGGATGTTTGTATGTGTATGTATGTATATCGGTGTGTGTGTGTGTGTGTGTGTGTGTGTGTGTGTGTGAAAGCATACTCACTTGCTGATGCCTTTGCAGTACAACAGCAACAACATCTTCATCTTCTTGCAGCCTTTCCTTAAATACCTCAGAGCCTTGTCTCTGAAAGAGCACACATACATATATGTATGAATAAACTCTCATGGATAAATGGCACATAAATGAAATATGCTGGTAGTGTCATATCAATTACACACAAGAACAGTTTTAATTTCACAAAGAGTTCACCAATCAATCACAATGAAACTGTTTGAATTTTAAAACAGAGTAAGGTTATGAAGTAAACAGTTATCTCTGGGGGACAGCGGGCGATAAAATATAGCCTGTGCCATGTCTTGACTTCTTGAAATGATAGCAAATATTATAAATGTACAGTAGTGCCATCATGACTACCTGTGGTGATACAGGTAAATCTGAACAAGGACATTACTGAACTCATGGGGGAGAAGAGGGGGGAGGGGGTACGTGTATTTAAAAAAGTTGCTCCCTTACGTGATGAGCACACATCCCGAGAGGTCCAGGTTGGTCATGTAGTGGCACACCCCTGACAGGTACTGGATACTCAGGTCTGTTAGCTGGAATGATAATGAAATAGTACAGCTGGATAAAGTCATGACAATGGTGCAGTAATTACATCAAAGAATGTATGCTATAGTAATAACTCCAAATTTCCAAGTGCCTCACCTTTGCCAATATTTTACTTTTTCAAGATTTTTCACTTTTAGTTAATACTCATAAATATACACTTTTCGAATACAAATTTTCTTAAATGTTGAACCAGAAACTTTACGCATTACTAACAAACTATTGTTTAAGGAATTTTTATTTATCCACTTTGTTCAAAGCTAACAACCGTTTACCATACAACCATGTAATACAGACAAATTACAGTCAGTGAGGCATAAATGACGTGAGAGCAAAGTACTACTAAAGAGGACATCACATCCACCCCTGTCTATGGCTTATAGTGTGTGCTGTACTACATACCAGTTTACACCCGGCCAGATTGAGAACTGTCAGCATCCTACAGCAAAAGGCCAGGTTCTTGATGGCAGCGTCAGTGACCAGCTGACAGAAGGAGAGGTCCAGCCTCTCCACATCCTTACACTGCTGGGAGAACTTCTGTAGTCCTAGATCACTGATACCGTTACAGTCTGAGAGACAGACGTCGCGGAAACGGGGGTTGTTACCCAAGGCTGACAAACCCTGAAATGAATTACAAATTACATCTGTTTATCTATTTACAAAATGCAATTATTTCAAAATCATTTGAATGTTCAGTTTTATATATTTGTGAAAGAATGAATGAGATTTGTTTTAATGCTAAGCAAATTCTCAAGCCTATGGTCCTCCACGATAATATATATGTTGGTCAGAATATATATAATTGGTTTATAATATGACTCACACGAGATAAAGCAACTTAAATACTGAAAAAAAAAAATTATTTGGTCTAAACCATATCTAAACACACCAAACTGGTGGTCTGTCCCAGTAGTAGTACTAAGTGGTACAGATATATTACCTGGTCTGCACAGTGACAACCAGAGATATCTAAACACACCAGACTGGTTGTCTGTCCCAGTAGCTCTATCCCGGCCTCACTGATATGTTCACAGAAACACACACTTAAGTAGGTCAGGCTCATGCACCTGGAAGAACATAGATCAAGGTTAATTATAAAGTGAATGGCCCCTCCACAGAAAAAAGTTCACATTTTTCTTTTATTTTGCTTAGAATATTTATGCTTGTTAATGTGCATGTAAATTAGGCCCAAATAAGTACTGTATCTACACAAGCTAGTTATAAATACACTACTCATTTGCAAGTGCTCTCATTTTGCCCATAAATCCCTTTATTTGTGTTGTTGCCTTTATTTGTAAAGCATTAATATTGGAAACTTTGTGCCTGTGCTTTTGCATGTTTTTACCCACCTTTTATGGATATGGACCAAGGCTATATCTCCCACCCTGATACAGTTTGTAAGATTGAGCTCTTTCAGTTTGGGTCCACAGGATGACTCCACTATACTCTTCACTCCATTGTCACTAATCCTGAAGGACAGGAGAAAAAAAAATGAACAATAATAGATATTACCAAACCTGTCTGGTATATTTTCCATGGGGTCTCAAATGAGTATTTTAACAATTAGTTGATTCAAGATTGAAAAATGAATCATTTGGATATATCATAAATATTAGTGGTCTATTAAAATATGCCAAGTATCAAATTACCAATATATCGGGTATGTCATTTATCCCTTTAATGAAACCCTATATTACTCAGATCCAATGGGAAGGGAGGGGGTTAATTACCAAAATGAAAATTAATTATTCAACATAGTATTACTCAGGATAGAGGAGATATAAATACTCCTGCATCTACCTGACACAGTCTGCCAGGTTGAGCACAGTGAGGTTTTTACATGAAGACAGGGACTTGAGGGTCATATCTGTGATCTTCTGACAATCTGTTAAGTACAGGTGGTACAGATCTGGACACATACGGCCAATCATCTTGAAGGAGACATCTGTGATCTTTTGATTGGCTGAAAACATGGAAGTTGAAAGCATTCTCAGTTTGGTTGGATGTTTATATTCAATCCTGCAACTCACAGAGTAACCATTTTTTCTAATTATCATTTTAAAAAACACTATACATTATTTCTTGCATTAACATACTGTACTTATCTTATTGAGGAATTGAAGAGAATAATATCATAACTTTAAAAAATGATTACAAAAACGTTAGTTAGATTGAACTAAGAGGTTTTTAATTACGCAGACTAATTTTAAATGAAAATTACCCAAAAACTGTACCTTACTGATAAATTTTCACACTTGGAATTAACAAGAAGTAAGGCATTCTGTTTGTACTTACAGTCAATCTTCAGCATCCTCAGTTTCCTGGTGGCAGCCACTTTTTTCAGAGACTCATCTGAGATGTACGGAGAACCCAGCACAGATACATAGGTTAGGTTTTTACATGTCTCGGTGAGTGCCTGAAAAGCAACCAGAACATTATCATTTATCTTTTCATAAAGAAACCAAATATCATTTATTGTTTACTGATTAATGAAAAAGTTAACATCAGGATAACTAATACAAAGCATTTTCTTTTAAATTAAATTTTCGATTATTTCTTTTCTTCCTCCATGTTCCACTTACGATAATCCTGTCATCACTGAGGTTCTGGAACTCGTTCAGAATTACGGAACGGAGAGAGGTGCAGCCAGTGGCCAGATTCTCAAACCCTATCACTGAGATCTGGAATCACAATTTTTTGAGAAACAAAAAAATNTTTTTGCAAAAGTTAATATGAGATAACAATTAGGATATCTTTCCTAAGAGTAATCTGAATGCAGATATGCGGTATAAAATGGCCACATATTTGCCATCTATTTTAGTTCTATATTGTGGATTTGCTGAAGCAAATACAAAGCTTTCAAAAGTGAGTTTTGCCTGGTGCACTACTCAAGAGCCACCTATAGAAGGCACTTGACACTGATTTCAAGGAAAATTTGCCAGAAGAGTACCCTGACCACTTTACAGCATTGTTCCCTGATGTAAGTGTAACTTGTTCCCAGAATCTGACACTTGGTAAAGGAACCTAGAGTAGCCACAATTACAATGCATTGAAAATTGGGGTATCTGCGTTATGTGTTTCTGTCAGTTTTGCAACACCTGGCACTCAATCCATGTTACGCGTTTCTCTGCCATTACTTTATCTGAACCCATGCCAAATTTTTAACCTTCAGGCGGCGAATCATGCCTTTGTCTGATTGTAGACATAATCAGCAGAAATCAGCTGGCACCTCATCGTCATTCCATTGCACAAAAGGAATTTGGCGCATGCACTTTTGTGCAGCTTGCCTGAAATAAAGAGTAAACAAAATTACATAAACAGGATTCCGTGTTGTCTAAATGTTTTAATGTCAGTGAAGTGCTGAAAATACATATGTGTATGCTACCTAGCCATAATCCAAACTGGCAATGTGTCACAGACTTTCTACTTTGGCATATTAAGGATGGATGGATGGATGGATGTTTGTATGTGTATGTATGTATATCGGTGTGTGTGTGTGAAAGCATACTCACTTGCTGATGCCTTTGCAGTACAACAGCAACAACATTTTCATCTTCTTGCAGCCTTTCCTTAAATACCTCAGAGCCTTGTCTCTGAAAGAGCACACATACATAAATGTATGGATAAACTCTCATGGATAAATGGCACATAAATGAAATATGCTGGTAGTGTCATATCAATTACACACAAGAAAAGTTTTAATTTCACAAAGAGTTCACCAATCAATCACAATGAAACTTTGAATTTTAAAACAGAGTAAGGTTATGAAGTAAACAGTTATCTCTGGGGGACAGCGGGCGATAAAATATAGCCTGTGCCATGTCTTGACTTCTTGAAATGATAGCAAATATTATAAATGTACAGTTGTGCCATCATGCTACACCTGACTACCTGTGGTGATACAGGTAAATCTGAACAAGGACATTACTGAACTCATGGGGGAGAAGAGGGGGAAGGGGTACGTGTATTTAAAAAAGTTGCTCCCTTACGTGATGAGCACACATCCCGAGAGGTCCAGGTTGGTCATGTAGTGGCACACCCCTGACAGGTACTGGATACTCAGGTCTGTTAGCTGGAATGATAATGAAATAGTACAGCTGGATAAAGTCATGACAATGGTGCAGTAATTACATCAAAGAATGTATGCTATAGTAATAACTCCAAATTTCCAAGTGCCTCACCTTTGCCAATATTTTACCTTTTCAAGATTTTTCACTTTTAGTTAATACTCATAAATATACACTTTTCGAATACAAATTTTCATAAATGTTGAACTAGAAACTTTACGCATTACTAACAAACTACTGTTTAAGGAATTTTTATTTATCCACTTTGTTCAAAGCTAACAACCGTTTACCATACAACCATGTAATACAGACAAATTACAGTCAGTGAGGCATAAATGACGTGAGAGCAAAGTACTACTAAAGAGGACATCACATCCACCCCTGTCTATGGCTTATAGTGTGTGCTGTACTACATACCAGTTTACACCCGGCCAGATTGAGAACTGTCAGCATCCTACAGCAGAAGGCCAGGTTCTTGATGGCAGCGTCAGTGACCAGCTGACAGAAGGAGAGGTCCAGCCTCTCCACATCTTTACACTGCTGGGAGAACTTCTGTAGTCCTAGATCACTGATACCGTTACAGTCAGAGAGACAGACGTCACGAAAACGGGGGTTGTTACCCAAGGCTGACAAACCCTGAAATGAATTACAAATTACATCATCTGTTTATCTATTTACAAAATGCAATTATTTCAAAATCATTTGAATGTTCAGATTTATATATTTGTGAGAGAATGAATGAGATTTGTTTTAATGCTAAGCAAATTCTCAAGCCTGTGGTCCTCCACGATAATATATATATGTCAGTCAGATTTAGAGATATTACATAAATGGTTTATAATATGGCTCACACATGAGATAAAGCAACTTAAATACCAAAAAATATATATATATATATATTTGGTCTGCACAGCGACAACCAGAGATATCTAAACACACCAGACTGGTTGTCTGTCCCAGTAGCTCTATCCCGGCCTCACTGATATGTTCACAGAAACACACACTAAGGTAGGTCAGACTCATGCACCTGAAATAACAGAGATCAAGGTTAATTATAAAAAGAATGTCCCCTCCACAGAAAAAAGTTCATATTTGTCTTTTATTTTGCTTAGAATATTAATGCTTGTTAATGTGCATGTAAATCAGGCCCAACTAAGTACTGTATCTACACAACCTAGTTATAAATACACTACTCATTTTTTCAAGTGCTCTCATTTTGCCCATAAATCCCTTTATTTGTGTTGTTGCCCTCTTGATAAGCAGACACTGTATTTGTAAAGCATTAATATTGAAAACTTTGTGCCTGTGCTTTTGCGTGTTTTTACCCACCTCTTATGGATATGGACCAAGGCTATATCTCCCACCCTGATACAGTTTGTAAGATTGAGCTCTTTCAGTTTGGGTCCACAGGACGACTCTACTATACTCTTCACTCCATTGTCACTAATCCTGAAGGACAGGAGAAAAAAAATGAACAATAATAGATATTCCCATACCTGCCTGGTACATTTTCCATGGGGTCTCAAATGAGAATTTTAACAATTAGTTGATTCAAGATTGAAAAATGAATCATTTGGATATATCAAAAATATTAGTGGTCTATTAAAATATGCCAAGTATCAAATTACCAATATATCAGGTATGTCATTTATCCCTTTAATGAAACCCTATATTGCTCAGATCCAATGGGAAGGGAGGGGGTTAATTACCAGAATGAAAATTAATTATTCAACATTGTATTACTCAGGATAGAGGAAATATAAATATTCCTGCATCTACCTGACACAGTCCGCCAGGTTGAGCACAGTGAGGTTTTTACATGAAGACAGAGACTTGAGGGTCATATCTGTGATCTTCTGACAATCTGTTAAGTACAGGTGGTACAGATCTGGACACATACGGCCAATCATCTTGAAGGAGACATCTGTGATCTTTTGATTGGCTGAAAACATGGAAGTTGAAAAGCATTGGATGTTTATATTCAATCCTGCAACTCACAGAGTAACCATTTTTTCTAATTATTATTTTAAAAAACACTGTACATTATTTCTTGCATTAACATTCTTATCTCATTGAGGAATTGAAGAGAAAAATATCATAACTTTACAAAATGATTACAAAAACGTTTGTTAGATTGAACTAAGAGGTTTTTAATTAAGCAGACTAATTTTAAATGAAAATTGCCTAAAAAATTGTACCTTATTGATAAATTTTCGCACTGGGAATTAACAAGTAAGGCATTCTGTTTGTACTTACAGTCAATCTTCAGCATCCTCAGTTTCCTGGTGGCGGCCACTTTCTTCAGAGACTCATCTGAGATGTACGGAGAACCCAGCACAGATACATAGGTTAGGTTCTTACATGTCTCGGTGAGTGCCTGAAAAGCAACCAGAACATTATCATTTATCTTTTTATAAAGAAACCAAATATCATTTATTGTTTACTGATTAATGAAAAAGTTAACATCAGGATAACTAATACAAAGCATTATTCTTTTAAATTAAATTTTCGATTATTTCTTTTCTTCCTCCATGTTCCACTTACGATAATCCTGTCATCACTGAGGTTCTGGAACTCGTTCAGAATTACGGAACGGAGAGAGGTGCAGCCAGTGGCCAGATTCTCAAACCCTATCACTGAGATCTGGAATCACAATTTTTTGAGAAACAAAAAATGAAGATACTAGTACTTTGAATATCTCCCAAATGCCAGGCATGTAAACCATTAATCATTATCTGTTAAAGTTGATGTATGTCAGCTTATATTGACCTTTGTCAGTTTATGTTGACCTTTGTCAGCTAACATAGTGACTTTTGACACTTCATGTTGACACTTTCAAAAATGACTTTTGTCAGTTAACATTGACCATGGACAATTTCTGTTGACCTTCGTCAGTTAATGTTGACCTCCATCAGTTAATGTTGACCTTATTTAATAACCAATTTACCTGTGTACACCCAGACATGTCCAGCCACTGGAGTTTGGCTCCACCTTTCCCCATAGCCAGGTACTGGAGACCTTTGTCTGTGAACCTCTTACAGAAGGCCAGGCTCAGATATTGTAAGTTTTCCATTGATCTAGAAATAAAAAGTACATTTTGTTTACTGTTTTTTTAGTAAATAATGGAAATGTCTGGAAGGAATATCAGCCTGAAATGCTGTTTTCTATGTTGTGGTTTAGATGATACGTAGTGAAGCTCCTGCAAAGTGTAGTTTCATATATCATGACATCTACATGTATCTTATTAAAATATCAAAATGGTGTAACAGCAGTTCATTTTTTTTTTACATTTGTAACTATATATACATATATGTTTATTACTGAAAACTTCCCAGTCTTTACCCATGTACTCATATACAGTCTGCAGTCTACCTACAGCAACAAAAACTTCAATCATCATAGACAACAACTTAATATCAAATGTATAAGTAGCTATAAACAAACTCACTTTGATATCAGCCTGAGGGTGGCATCTGTGATATTGGTATGAGATATGTTGAGATAGAGAAGGATGGTGCAGCCCTCACACACCAACTTCATGCTACTGTCCTGTAACACAGAGAAATGGAAAATATTGGTATGAGATATGTTGAGATAGAGAAGAATAGTTCAACCCTCACATACCAACTTCATGCTACTGTCCTGTAACACAGAAAAATGGAAAATTCTATAGAAAGTGGGAGGAAATGGTTTAAAAATCCTAACAACTCTGTACATAAACCAGGTTTATTTCTTTAAACTGGACACCTGCATTAGCAGCAAATAATCAAATGACTGATTTCATCAAATCAAATTCTAATCTATCTTTTGTTAGCCTGACCAGAGTTTCAGCCCCACAGATGACATACAGCAATAGTTTCTTCTTTGACTTTGGATACCAAATTTAATTTGTACAAAGACAACTGCCAACCCCATCCAGTAACAATACTCACATTAACAGCGGAACACTCGGACAAGTTCAGATCCTGCAAGTTCCGGCACTCGCTAATGGTCACAAATGCCGCCCTGCTCAGACGCAGACAACCACGAAGGTTTAAGTGGACAATGTATGGACGGCATTTGGTCAGGAGGGTCTTGACCACATGGTCTGTGACACTGGAAATAGCACAGTTTGGCCATTTAAGGAGTGATCACAGTGTTTGTAATAACCTCTAACTAAAAACTAAGAAATAAATTTTAATTCAAACAAATATATATAGTATTTAAATAAAATTAAATTTAGTATGTCTCAGTCTTTGTAATCATATGCTTTTTTTTTTCTATAAAATTTTCACAGGATATAGATTTCTCTGAATTCATTCAATATCTATCAAAGTTTTAATAAACATATATAATTAGCCAGAAACAGAAATATTCCTTCAAGAAAAAACACCTCACATGACACAAAGAACATCTCTGAGTTAATTACTTCATCATAAAGGAAAGTTCTAAACAAGAAATTCAAGAAAATAACCACAAATGTAACACCATTCAAAAACAAAAATGCTCTTCATATTCTTTTCAAATTTTCAAACCAAACTGATTAAAATTTATGAATGTATAATATATGTAAGTCATCAGGTAATGGTAAAATCAAAGTTACCAAAAAACTAGTTTCATGACTTTCCCATTATTTTACTATTTTCAAACCATGCAGTATTTTTCTAAAATTTTAAAATTTATGTCATATTAAAAAAATATATAAAAAAGCAAAAACTTAGGTTAGTTCCATTTTGAAATATCCAAAACCAATTAATAGAATTTTTTCCTAATTAGTTTTCAGTTACAATTCCCACAGTAAATAGATACCAGTATTTCTAAGTTAGCTTTTAGTTTTATATCTCATAATAAATAGATTTTTCTAAATTAGCTCTTAGTTATATATCCCATAATAAAAAGATATTTCTAAATTAACTCTCAATTACACAGTTATAGATCCCATAACCATGTTGGAACATATAAAGTCTTCCTATGTCTAAGCACCCAGTTATCAAGTAAAAGTACATGTATAAAGTAGATTATAAAGAAAGATGTCATCCTCTACAAACAAACCAATCTATACATACAGCCCTGTCTTGGGTTTTAGGTTTCTCTTATCTCTGCCAGGGGTAAAACAAAATTGCATTGATCACAACCACATGCATACATGCACTAGTATCTGTATACTGTACATTATGTTTATATATATAGTATGTACTGTATGGGCTCATTTTTAATGAAATTGTCACTCTACTTAGACTGCATTCCCACAGATTTTAGATCGATCTATCCCTGTGGGGAGTCTCACTAGATTACTGTCAGCTTAGCCCACTTAGTCCCGCCTACTAAAAGCTGTAAGGGGGTAATTAACTTCTGTGCACGCTCGACTGACAGCAATTTAGCGTGAACCCCTATGGAGTTAGGTCAATCCAGATGGATCGATCAAAATCTGTGGGAATGCAGTCTTAGATCAATCCAACTCCATGGGGACTCTCTGAATGCAATCATATTAACAGATTAACACTTCTCAATCCTCCTGTCACAAAGACAAATACAGACAAGCTGCTGATTATATACAATTACTTTACAAACAAGATAAGGTGTGTTAATCTGTTAATCGGATTGCATTCAGCAAGAGTCCCCAGGTCGTAAAACTGATCTACGTAGAAAGATACTTTCATTGGAAATGAACACAAAGCATCATCCTGAGTTTCAGAGATGACAGGACACATTTTCCTCCATTAAGAGCATGAAATGGGTTTATTGTGTCCACTGCTGATAATGGAGGGAAGATTTCTGCAATCTGTGCAACTCAGGGTGCTTAGTCTTATATCATTTGCATAAAATAATCCAATTATTTGCCAATTTAACATTTCCCACAGAGAGATAAAAACTGTTTTTCACATTACTTTGAAAACACAAAGCAAATTTTGAAATGATTCATCTTTTTTGTTGTTGTTAAAATGTTTTACTTTCTTTGGCAAAAAAAAAAATTAATAAATAAATAAATAAATAAAATTAAATCAGTTTCTGAAAGAGATGCATTGAGTATGCATAATTACATATAGTCCTCTATTCTTCTTATAGTTATTAACTTTGAAATGAGGAAATCAACTTTATAAGAAGCTCAGGGTTAATCACAACTGTGAGTTATAATTAGTGGTTAAAGAATCAGTGCAGATAAAAAAAAATCCTATACAGCATACATACAGTGCAGTAGATATGTTTGTTAAAATAGTAAAACACAGTGAACATAATCTAAGTAATGGCATAGACCTGACCAAAGCTGTAATACAGATGTGTAGATGCACAAAAATGTGAACTATACAAGATTCATCACAGGATGTATCATGATAAATTTGGTTATTTAAAGAAAAATATTCTTTTTCCTTTTTAAAAGACTTAGTTTGAATATTTTTTACATAAAATATTTCCCCCTCAAAAAAAAAAGGCACTTTGTATACATCAAAGTCTGTTTGACCATAGATTCTACAGATCTGGTTTGGTCGTACCATTATCAAAAAGTGAGTGTTCAGTTACCCTGTAGATAACCTAAGTGACAATAATAACGTGTCACAGGTGAAATGTCACAGGCGAGTGTCACAGGTGAAATGTCACAGGCGAGTGTCACAGGTAAAGTGTCACAGGTGAAATGATGCAGATTCAGCACATCAGATGGAAAAGGAAAAATGAACAAAAAATACAAAATTAACTTTAATGTGAGAGATGTGATATGAGAGATTAGTAGATGACAGTTTAACCACCTGAAGTATAGTTTAATTCATATGGCAAAAGCTTAGCCTGGTTCTTCATTTTCACATTTTCATGTATGCCCACTTGTACAATAAGTGTGCAACCATGGAGATTTGAAAATGAAGCAGCCGGCATCCATGGCAACTGTTGCTAACTAAAGAGTATAATCACTCCATTAGGAGGTGAAATGGCCAACTCTAGAATTCAGTTTTAAAAAGAAAGGCACAGTTTAAGCTGTCATCTGTAACCCATCCCTCTCACATCAACATAACAAATTATATCTACAACTACTTGAGAAATGTGAAAAATAATCAAATAACAGTTGAAAAAATATAGTGAGTTATCTTGAACAAGTAACAATTAAGACTTAGTAAATAACAGTGTAATTATAATGGCATGGTAACTCTAAGCAGCTGAATGTTTTGAAAGACAAAAGACTGGCACAAGTGTACCGAGTGTGAATAAAAAATTGTGGAAATAATGTCAATAAAATAATGATAGACTTGTACAGCAAGTACTGCCTTTAAAAACTGAAATTAAACTGCAAATTAAAATTCTGAAATTATGTAGCATTTACAGAGAGAGGCCTTGAGTTATCTGGGGTATACATACCTTCCTCGAACAATTGACAAATCTAACTGTAAAAAGAAAAATGATAAAAATCAATGGATACCATCTCAAACTTATTAGGCATCACTTACTATTTGAAATTCATTGTGATTTTCAGCCAATGTGTTCATACCAGTGTCCCTCTAAACTTAAGAATTCTGGGTCCACAAGAAATGTAGTATAAAAAATGTACTTCAAAAACCTCCCCTCACTCTCCTCTTTACTGTCAAATCTCTTACCCTGGTCCACAAGCTATGAGACTGTGTGAGAATCTTCCAGGAGCGGCACACCTGAGCACACCTGGCCAGGTCATCTATGTCCACATAACTGAAGATCTGAAACAGAGAGGCACAGGCTACTGGTCAGTTCTGTATTAAAATACATTCCATGAACAACAACAACAACAAATAAAAAAATAAGCCAGAATGTATAAGGCAATTATACTTTAGAATTCTGAACTGATTACTATCCCCCTCCCCCTCCCCCTCCATGATTTCACCACTAAAGTGAATGTTACCTTTAAAGCCACAGATCTGGGCATATTAGCAGAGATATCATCTCTGGCGTCACCCAAACCGCGCCCTGTGGGGTCCTCTTCCTCCATGTTCTCTCCACGTTCTAACCTCTGAAATATCACAATTATAATAAAAAGCGAGGAAGAAGATATCAGACTTGTTCTGCAACACAGAGCACATTTTAGTTTTCTTCTCTGTGTATAGGTGGTGCTGTATGCAACCCCATTCTGGTACTGACAGCGTAAAGCCTGCTAAAACTCCCGACTATATCACTATACACACTCTACATGTACTTAGCCTACTTGTACTAGCTGTCTAATGATAATTAGCAAGTCTACATTAAAAATTGATCTCATTACCTATGTGCCTAAAGTTTTAATTATATTCTGAAGTTCTTAAAATAGTTACACCGAATTGTTCTACATGTATGTTAATTTTTCTTAGTTCAATCATAGAATTCACATAAAAAAATTATAAGCAATAACTTTAGGGTTAAACTTTTAATTATGATGTTTGCATGCATGTTTTCTATGCACATCTCAAAATATTCATTTTCAAGCATAATACTTTTTCAACATTAGTATTCAAAACAATGTGTAAAGGTGTTATTTGGGGATGGGGCTGCATAAAACCAATGATATCTTACTACAAGTAATTCACTGCATCAGAGGGTTTGGGTTTAGATGACTCTGGGGTATAAATACAACTTCAAATGTCACTTATAACTCTTGAATAGATGGGATTCAACCGTGTTAGGGCAAGAAACACTGTATATGTATCAGAGTTCATGCTGGGGCATATAGTACTGATAGAAGGTTGGATATCTAAGTAATATTGGAGAGGAGAAGTATTTCACTGAACAACTACAGAAAAACATGGTACAATATAAAAGAGTATCTGCAGGAGAGTTACATGTATATCTTTATATTTCCCACTGTTAATAAGTGAAAAGTTGGACGGTTTGGGTATATAGTTTTTTGTGCGTATATTCTGTATATAAATTAAGGCGAATCTGCTCAATGATGATACAGTATCATGATACATGACATGTGGTTACTGAAATCATAATTTAAAACTAAATTGTTAAACAGGTTGACATGCTTTTAGATTACATTCCATACTTTAATCAGATATGTAAGTTAATATTAATTTTGCCATGAAACACTTTTAATGTTTAGGAAAAAAGGGATGAAACAATTAAATAATCTCAAATTAACAACAAATTGACAATGAAAAAATATATAACAGCCACAAAGTTATTCAGCTTTCTTATAGTCAAAGTGATGTGAAACTGAATTTCATCAGAAGTGAAAATCAACTTAATGAAAAAATTGTGATTTTAAGTGAATTTCAATATGAAAGTGACGTAAAACTTAACATGTGGTGACAGTGACCTTGACAGTGACCTTGACCCAATGCATACAGGTCAGGTGACTCATACTGTGAATGTGACATCAATGTCTACATAACAACAAAAGACTGGATTGCAACAATGATTGATTTGCAATGCGGTCCTTACGATGACTCAATAAGATGATGGATAAACAGGAGAATTACATATGATAATTTGCAAGTTTAGGAATTCTAAAACTTTTATGTCTCTAATTTTGAAGAGGTATTAGTTAAATTTTGGTGTAATACACCTGTATATAAATATATTTACTTTAAAGTGAGCATGAAATAGTATGAGATACTTTTAGTGCTCACAAAAAAAAAAAATTGTGTAACTATCTGTATAAATGACCTTTAAAAAGCACTAAAATATGATTACTTCTTTCACCTGTTGAAAACAAGTTGATTTTTTTTAATTTAGTATGTCTTTAAAAATGATTATAGTTAGTAGTGCTACATGCCAAATGAGGAACAACATCCAAAATCCATGACTGACATGTAAGACAAGAACTGGCAGTTAATATAACATGCACAAGCCAAAGAACAGCAGAAATACTCAAGCAAACCTTCATCATTTTTAGGCGTTGTTCATCGTGGGTAGAATTTTGGGCATCAAACATCTAGTAAGCATCAAATATATAGCAGTGAGAAGCAAAACATGTGGTCAAGCATAAATAAAAAATGGCATGGATTCCAAACACAGGAACAAGTCAGGTGGTGATGACTTGATGCAGCCAGAGCAAAAACAATATTTTTCATTCCACAAATCTGTTTTCAAGGTGATGAACAAATTAAACAATCATTTCCATATGAAGATACTGTAACACAAAGATTTCCATCTTATTTCAAGATCTTCACCTCATTCTTCTTTTAAAATTAATTCTGTTATGTCTTTCCTTTTTACATATATGTAGATAGTCTTCTAATACTGTTTTTGCTTAGGCTCCATACAGGGTGTATCAATAATAAAGGCATTGTGAAACATGCAACTTCAACCCAGTCAACTGTCTACTGTACCCTTATGTTGATCTTCAATAGAGGACAGATCAGGGCAACAGAATGTCACAGAATGGAGATAATGAAAAATAAAACAAAGAGAAACACACATGTTATATAAATCAATATTTCTACTGCACTCCAACAGCATGCTATATATATGAAAATAAATATGTACATTGATTCAACTGAAATTACTAAATGATTTTAAGATAATAATAATAATAATAATAATAATAATAATAATAATAATAATAATAATAATAATAAATGCTGAAAAAAGCAACAGTGTGGGCTGCAAATGGCTGATAAAGGTAACTTCTATAAATCCAGTAGTTTCATTCAAGGCACAAACTCAATTTCCATACTAAATCTTGTTTTCTCGTTCTCCTCTCACTCTCTCTCTCTGTCACCCACACAAACACACACACACACACACACACACACACACACACACACACACACACACACACACACGGAATTGTTCAAGATCAAACAGAGTAATTTTAAAAACCTAGGAATCAAATAAGACAGGTAAAAATGATAAACTAACCAAAAGAAATGATAAAATTTATCTGTATTCCAAAACATGACAAACCAGACACTAAAATTATAATGCACTCCAAATATATATATATAAAGATATATACCACATATACAAGTATGTATAAAACTCACCCGATTGGATTCCTAAACAAGGTTTTGCAAAGTTTCAAAAATTACAAGCAATAATCATTCAAGGGCATGCAATTTAAGCAATAATTTGAATGCCAGAAATACATGTCATGCAGCAAAAGTATGAAGGATAATTTTTACATGCAGTATAATGATCATTCACATATATCATGCAATATAATGTTGTGTTCTCCAAGCAAGAAAAGATTCATTTGTTTTATTTGGTAGAGGTGTTATGGATATAGCTAAATAATATGCTGGGTAGAATGAATATTATATCACATTATCGACTATAATTTCAATATATTATAGTACAATTAAGATAATGTTCATTTCTGAAGCAACATTTCTCACTTTCTTTCAGTATCACAGTTGCTTTCTTATAAACAAAAATAAATGTGTATTTTTTATAAAGTTACTGAATGTAGAGAAATTATCTAGTGCAAAATGGGAGAGACATGGAAAAAACATTGTTTTAGATTATGTGTCCTGTTTCTTAAAATTATACTTTTTATAGTTAAGTCTAGGTTATCTATCACCAGTGCTTTCTTTTAAAATATATGCATATAAAGAGCAGAACAAAATTATATAACTAGGTAATCTAAACATTTTCCTACTTCACCTACACACCCTGTGTTAGTTTTCAACCTTTTCAGGCGCATGCAGTGCTTAGATTTCCATGCGTTTTAGTTTGAAAATATGGATTATTTCGTCATTATACTTATCATTTCTTTAGTTATTAATACTAGAGTAAAAGAAAGGTCTAATGGCATCAATGCCTGCTGTAAGGAAATGCAGCGTTAGGCTGTTAACTTATGAATAAAGCTATAAATTAGACATGAACATGGCATCTTTTCATTTCATGGGAACAATAAATCATTAAGATGGCCAAAAATTTTGTAAATCTTTAATCAACAACTTCACATTCACTTATTTTTTCTGTAAAGAAAAAAATATGAACCTTACTTTTGAAATAACATCTCAAAGGTGACAAACATACAGCTATGTCAACATCATTTGTATCTTTAACTTAACAAAACATTTTCTTCTTCACCCACAGAAGAATAAATTTTACCTCAAAATATTCCCTAGTCCTTCTAGCTTTGGTTGTTTCTTCATGCCAGTTATCAAATATCACTTTAGCAATGGCACAAAAGAACACACGCTGTATCTTGTTATATGCCACTGGAAAAATATCAAATTAATTATAGTAAGGCCTCAGATTCTTATGCCTGATTCAGTTAAAATCAAACTCCTATATAATTGTTATCTATCATATCATAACACCATAGGCAACTTATGTATTTAACCTTTTCATCTATTCTTATATAAAAACTGAACATTGCTATATTACAAATAAATTATTACTGGTAAATTATTGATTAATGAAACAGATTTCAATATAAATGTAAGTTAACAAAACAAAGTCAACTCACTGGACTGGACTCCCTTTCTGAAGTTCATCCATTGCTGTGTAAGAAGTTAAGGAAAATCATTCAAATCTGAACTGCTCTGAAAAAAAAAGCAAGAGCAATGCAGTGATGGGTGTGAATGGCAAAAGGGCCATTCATTTGTTTGACTGCCCCACCCACCCACCCAAAGGTGATAAAATGACCAGATCAGACCACATTTAACAAAGGATACAGTCCACTCATTGAGGGCCAGTCTCATCAGTCTGTGTGCATAGTGAGTGACAGCCTCACACCACTTCCTCTCCATGTCCATCCTCTTCTGCTTCTTCACCAGGTGGAACTGCATCCAGCCACTGGAATGGCATGAACAAAGTCATGAAAAATGTTATGAATGAAGTCACGAATGGTGACATGAATTTAGTCATGAACAATGTCATGAATGAAGTCAAGAACAGTGACATGAATTCAGTCATGCATAATGTCATGAACAACATCATGAATAAAGTCACAAACAGTGACATGTACAGAGTCATGCAGAAAGTCCTGGGCAAAGTCATGAACAATGACATGAACAATGACATAAAAATGTTATGAACTACGCATGTCATGTGGTTTTAAGGTTTCATGAACTACGGTGGTTTTATGAACTACAGTGTCATGTATAAAGGAATAAGTTATCTTGACCATCATCTTTATTGACATAATTCCAAAAGAAAAATTCCTCAAAAAGTTTTTATCTTTAAAAAAAATATCACTATAAGTAGAGGTATGCTTACTGAAAACACATGGACCGCAGACGAGAGTTGTAGAAACTGAAGGCTTTAGCGTACATCTCTGGAGTTGGTTGCTGTGGAGAAAAAATGTAACAGTTGTTTTGAATATGAAACACAAAAGCTTATGTTCACGCTTGGAGATATGATGGCATTTCACATGAGGCAAGAGAAAAAATTAGTAAAAGGTAGTTTATTTTTGTATATTCAGACAACGATACAAAGAACAATACTAGTATAATAAATTTTATTTCCTACCAAAGGACAATTCAAACAAATATTCAGATGGGTCTCAATTTAACTAAATATAAAGGAAGAAAAAATTCCAAATCACCAAAGAATAGTCATCTAAGTTGAAAATGTAGTCCAGATTACTCTCAGTTATAACTCTCCTCCTGGGGCGCATCTCTTCTTCCACAAACATGTCCCTGGAATTTAAGAAGAATGTGGACCTTTTGACAGCAAACGACTTAATACTGAACTATATCAGCAATAGTAAGGCATTCAGATTTCTAAATATATAGGCTTAAAACATAAGAAATTTATAAGACTATAGTAATATCTTACTTATATAGTGAGGTTATTCAAAAACTACCCCCCCCCTCCCCCTGGTTAAAAAAATGGAGTTGATTCTAAAGGGATGAAAAATATATTTCTTCCTATGAGCTAGTAACAATTGTATGTGATCCATTAAGGCCCTGTGATGAAAGGCTAGAACATGTTTCACAGGACAACATGTCAAGTTTAATCAGAACCCATTTATTTTTTAACCATCATTAGACAAGTCACAAGAGAGAAAATTAATGCAAACAACTACTAATATTTCACCACCATGTATCTCCTTCTTACCACTGCAAGCATCTAAGGCCATATTTCTGGATATGTCTCAAGCATTTGACTATAAATGCCTTAGGATCATCAGGGCACATCACTGCCAGTCCTGTCAGCAAAGCCTGGAATGAATTGAAATACCCAGTATGCATATTTCCATTATACCAGTTCACTACATCATGGGCATTGGCATCATAACAAAGTGGTACATATTCCAAACACGAAGAGTAATTTATACAATAAAATTAGTAAAATCATAAAATGGAAAATTAAGTTAGTGTTGGTCTCAAAATACTGACTATCACATACTGTACTAGTACTGAACATGGATATCTCTATTAAAATGACTACAGAATACAACTAATGCACAATTTGCTTGGTATTTTTCTTATATCTTGGATTCATACAGGCAATTTAGAAGATGGCCATAATTATATTATCGCATAATATAAAACACAGTTAACATGTGCGTTTTTATTATTTATTTATTTCAAATGGGTAAATTCAAATTTTACGAATGCCAGATAAAGGTTAACACACATAAAAAGACAGATATAGGGTAAACTAAATAAACCAAAATCTACATAGACATGTCATAAAGAAAGAGCATGCATGTTCAACCTTTGCTCAAAGTTTAAATTTTAAATCGTATAACGTCAAATTATTATGTCAAATATCTTACCTCATAAACGTCTGGCAGTCGATTTATGCGGAGATATTTCTTTAATTCGGGGTCTATCCCCTTTAGAGATGCCGCCATTGTGGTTTTGAGGAATTATTCTGGGTAAAAAAATGCACTATTTTCTGTTAAAGAACAATTAAATTCAAGTATATGAGCGCAATCGACCGAAACACCTGCAGTCTTCCGCCATGTTGTTTGCGAATAGCAACAGCAGTACCCGGATGTAATTCCATGACGGGCTAGAGCCGCAGTAAACATGAAGCTGACAACTCAAAGTCCTGGATATTCATAAAGTAGACTAAATCATGCGTCCCGCCAAAATTCCACGAGTAAAACGCTAAAATAAATACGCCTTAGAAATGAATTCTACAAATAATTGCCAAATAAAATATATTTTCTTTCAAAATTATTTTCTACAGGGACACCGAAATAAATCATAAAGTTCAAAACAATGTTTAAGAAATTTGATGATTTAAGGTCACGGGGCGCATTTGGACGGCTACGCACGTTGGGAATATCCTAGGTCTAGCAGGTTCTGTATATGTTGGATCGATCCTGGATTGATTTATTGTTACTTTAATTTGAAACAAAGAAAATTATTGAAAGTACATCGGCGTGATGTCATTAAAGATTTAGCAAGTTTTTTTATATTAGAGAAGCTTACTATTTACTTTTTTGTATCTTCATTAAATACCCACTCCTAATCCACGTCTTAATGATAGATTTCGGACAACCCGCTCTATTATGATTCCTTAACGTATTTCCAAATGTGAGCAAACGCGCTTTTAAAATTTTTACTTCTTCAAATTAAAAAAAGTGGGACAGAAGCATGCTTGTAGTGAGCCATCTAAGTAGGCCTAAAGGAAATTTTCAATTATGGATGAAAATTCGAAACAACAGATTTTCGGAATTAAAAACGTTCGATGCTTGGAGTAAATACTTCGTAATAGTGAGATGACCCCGTCAGCCTTTTTTAATTATTATTATTGATTTTCTCGCGTCAATGACCCTGGTCACTCTGCCCCCATCTCCCTCCCTTTGGCTGTACTTTGGCTGTACCTTGTTCTTCTTTTGTTTTTCACCAATAAGTCAAATGAGACAGACGGGCAGATATATAGTTTTCTGCTACATAGTTTATTTAGGGCTAAAACTCAAGCGTGTAGGCCCTTCCAGTGTAAAGCCCTCTATATAGGCTACATCTGTCTGTCCCTCAAGCATCGGTCTCCCGCTCCCTCTCTTACCTCTTTTATCCCTTAACGCAATTGGCATTTTACAAGTAGGCCCTACTTTATCTAAAATGCAACCTGCCACACACACTGTGTAAATGCCCCAAATATATAATTATTATAAGTACATTTTAAAAAAATTTGTATTTTAATATGTATGTTAAAACCAATATGCAAATCACATCCAAGCTTAAACTACTATCAATGGTTCCAACAACCTGATCCTATCTTTTAAAGGAAGTGTGACGACGGGGAACACACAAATGCAAACATTTTTAACTTTATTACAATATTTAAGAATATATCTTCTGATCAACTAAACAAGGTAACTATCGGACAGAAATCTTATTAAAAAACACCCCTTTCCCTTGCTCTAAAAACCATCATTTTATAATTATTTGATATTTCTTTCCCATCTAAGTAGACCATATTTCCTCAAACTGCATTACTGATAAGAGAATACACTAACAGCCTTTAAGATAATGTAAATTATATGCCTGTGGTGTACTTGTGTAGACAATTTAAGCTGCACCCGCTGCTTTAAGACCGCTAAACAGAGCATCTAAGTATAAAAAAACCCTTCTCTTTAAATTTATCAGCTGGATGTTACTAGATCAGAGATCGCTTTAATATTCCAATATTGGCGTCCTGCCACTAACAGTCCCAGCCTCTTACTTGTATTTAAAAAAAGACTTAAACTGGCCTATCGCCCGGTAAGTGCACGGCTGGTATAGGGGCCTAATCAAGTACCCCGTTTGACAGGTGGCGCTCATAAGGTGACAAATGCAGTAAGTGTCCTAGTGTCTAGTATATAGGCTCTTCCCTGGTCCTGGGACTAATCTATATTGACTAATAGTGGACCTGTATATAGCCTGTCATCACGATATCTTGATATTCAGTGAGTAACAAAGAGATGGATATAGAAGAGGAAGGTAAAGTTTAATATGGACATCGGGCTCTTTGCATTGTGGACTATTGTGCTTCTAATTGTAAATTTTTTGCAAATATATATGTGGTTTATCATCATTCATTTTTCTGAATCTTAACCAGTTAAAACTCAATTTGCCTTTGAGTGTGTGACTGTCAACAAAACTAATAGTGATTGTTTAATCTTAACTATAGAATGATTCGTTTTTCCCATTCTTAACATATATTTAATTTTGGAATTCCCGGACGTCTTTATACTTTAGAACCACCAAAGTCTAAATGGGATCTACGGCGGAATTTAGCAGGGTTTTGGCTCCTTGGTCTTTGCGACTACTTTCCATACGTAGTTATGCTGAGTGCTGCAAAAGAAATACTCCGTGACAGTGACAACCCCGACAATCTACAACCGGTAATGTTACTTTTATCGTGATGTTTGTGGGAAGATGGGGGAAAGAGCACCTGTTAAGGATTCCTGATTTCTTACTTGAATGTAGACCCCCTCCTCTTCTCTACTTGTATCAGAAGACAGCTAAATGTAGCTGACGACGAAGCTGGTGAGCAAAAATTCTTGCTGCACACAAAAAAGAAAAGTACAGAGCTGGTGAATAGAAAGAAATATTTGTGAATGTCTAGTATACAATGTAGAGAAGGAAATGATCTCTGTGACCCTGGGAGAAGGTAAAAAGTATAGATAGATTGGCAGTGAAATATCTGTGAATGCAAGTATCTAATGAAAAATCCTCTGTGACCGGTACCTTGACATAAGGTAGATTGATATATATTATAAAATATATATTATAATATATATTATAAAAAAATTGAGTTCGATTTACTGATTTATTTTTTGCACCTGTTCCAGGCAAATGTTACCGGTCTTAATGACACAGAAGAGATGCAGCTTAAGTGTAATTCTGTCGGCACTGGGGTAAGTCTGGGTAATATTCATATTGTATATGAATGTAGGGGCGAGGGGGGCACAGCGTTTACGTACCCTTTTCTTTAGCTTTGGAGGTACTCCTCCGCTTTCTCCACTCCCCCCTCCCCTCGTAAACAAACAAAAAATATACTTAATTAAGTCGTTTTCCAACTCCTATGCCCTACAGGCCCGTAGCCAGCAAATTCAAAAGGGGGGTTCTTTTTCTGAATAAGTAGACGTTTTACAATGAAACTTATGTGTACCTACATAAAATTTTACCCAAAATGGACCATTTCCTGACAAAAGGGGCAGTTCTTTCGAACCCCCCGACCCCCCCCCCCTGGCCACGGGCCTGCCCTATGTATAAAAGTAAAAGTCTCAAATTCTCCTCGTGTATTTTAATTTTGTAATGCTTGCTGAACGAAGCAAAATCTTTGACCCACCGGCGGTGCGTGTACTGAACCAGATGAAATGACCTACATATATTTGTGTGGATAAATTGAGATAGGATGCACTAGCATGACAAGCTACATGTTAAATGCAATACTTTGTACAGTGCATTATAAATATGCACACTGTGTATCTGTTATTTATAATGGAAAACAGGGAAAGCAAGGGCAATGTTACGGTCAGTACATGACCTCGCGCTTGAGAAAACTCATAGGAAACCTTTGTGAAACAAGCTTTGCTTGTGCGTAATTAAATGTGGTACTGACAATTTCTTGTGTTAAATTTTCATATTTTATCCTTTCTAATTTTGCATTGTATCAATCTACCTAGTGCGATTGATTCATTGGGAACGCACCCTTAATAAGCACCCACATTAGTCCCATTTGGGACCCACTTGGGACCCACTTGGGCGTATTGCAGGGCTTCAACTATGGCGTTTTTCTTTTTCTTCCAGGCCGTGTTATTGGCGGACATTATCCCTGTTTTATTTATCAAGACGATTGGAGCTTTTTTCTTAAAGAAGGTCCCATACTAGTAAGTCTAGATCTTCACCAGTACAGTTACTTGAACACTGTAAACGAAATGTTTTCAGATATATATCAAAGCTGAAGATGGTTATAAAATTTTATAAGAAATATATTGTTGATATTTTTAATCGCCGTTAATCGGACGGACAATTCCACATTTTCTTGACACAGAATTTCTTCAGAATTGATGAACATCCGTGCAAAAATTATAAAAGTATTACCGGTGGTTTGAAGTGTAATTTTCTAGTAAAAACCATACTGATATGCATGCAGTTGCAGGGTGATGGCTGTCGTGGCGTTTGGGGCGGCCAGTTTTCTAACAGTTGCCTTGTCGTCAACCATATGGGTCAGCTTGCTTGGTACGTATACCAAACAATTACTGATCATTCCCAATGTGGCCTTCGTAGCCCGAAATCTTTCCGATCAATACTATATATCAGTTTACTACTATAGACTGCAGTACATAGTGTGATGTCATGGAGTCGACTGACATTGATGATGCCTATACCACAGCGTATTAAAAATTCGGAAAGTTAGCGCAGGGTTGCTTATAATGTGAACCCCACCCCACATCTCTCTCTCTCTCTCTCTCTCTTTTGTTCACAATCTATACGTCATTAAATTTTTTTCAGGTGTGGTATTCGCCAGTATCAGCGAGGGATTAGGAGAAGTAACTTTCTTTCAAATGACGGCATACTTTGACCAGTAGGTGGTGATTTGTTACCTTCTACCAGGACCATAGATTGATGCTTCACACAATTCACCTCTGTGTCTCAGCAGAGAAAATTGCTATGAATTAACCAGGGACATATCCGTGGATATATCTAGTGCAAAATCATTCTTTGGTCCTGGTAGAGGGTAGTGATTTGTTTATAATTCTTTTTCAAACAATTAAAAAAGTAACATTTTGTGTTTTTATGTGGGTTTAGGTTGGGGCGTAAAATCAGGGAATTTTTGAAAAAACTTTTTTGGGGGTTTAGGGGTGGTGATGGGAGGGGATTGTAAATGACTCCCAAAGTCCTATCATGGTCTTCAACAGATGCCCCCACCCAAGGATTTTTTTTCTTAAACACGGTACTAGATACCATAATCATATTCTCTATCATTGCCGTTTTCAGGAACGTCGTGTCAGCTTTTTCCTCAGGCACAGGGGCGGCGGGTTTCCTTGGCGCTCTCACATACGCAGGACTCCGAACGGCCGGCGTCTCAGCCAGAAATTGTCTGTTCTTCATGCTTGTCTACCCGGCCATCATGGGCGCCACCTATTTTCTGCTTCTTGTCAAACCTCCAGAACTCAGCGCCCCCTGCTCTAAAGTTAACCGTTATGATAAGTTGATTCAAAGTAATGATAAGAACAATTCAGATAGGAATGATACAGGTGAGGTTGATATTTCGAACTTATTTGACTCTCTATATTAGATTTAGCTTTTATAGTACGCGGTTTGTCATCATTTGTGCAAAGTTATTTTTTCATCATTCATTCATAATTTTTGTTCATTTTGACATTTTCAGTTGTTGTATTCGACTTGTTTATTGTGGATATAATATTTTAGCTTATTTTGTTTTTATTTTTTAGTCGAAGGTATTTCAAATTATTCATTAAAGGAAAAAATCAAACTTGTGAAGGTAGGTAGTTACAGATAATCCAACGTCTGTTATGACTCGAACGTATTCACAAGATTTTGTGACTTTTTTATAATTATAAAAAATTTGTATTAAAAGAAGATTGCTGATATTTCAAACAAATATCGGAACATGTAGATCTCTATATACGGCATCGACATTTAGCAGCGTAAAACGTATAAAAACGTTCATAACTGATTTGACACAAAATGCCACATCTTTTTTCCCATGAATTCCTTAAATGTTATAGATTATAGTTACATTCAATTAAATTATACTAATTTTCAGCCTTTGTTAAAGTACATGGTACCGCTAGGACTGGTTTACTTTCTGGAATACTTTATAAATCAAGGGTTGGTGAGTAACAGATACAGCTATATTCCTGCCCAGTACCTTGCTATAAGAAACGTCTTGCTGTTTATTTTGCCATCGACATTAAAGCCTTTAGGCGGAATTCTTTGTGATTAGATTAAGTGAGCTATCAGAACAAAGTTGGCAAGTCTGGTTATACACGATTAATTAGTTGTTTTAAAATTGCTAATTACATCTTGTCATTGATCAGTCACTGTTGCGCAGTCCATTTTCGTACATCTATTTCAGTACGAAGTCTTGTATTTCAATGGCATCTGGTTAACGACAGACGAACAGTACGAATGGTAGGTATATATAGGCCTATTTGTACTAATAAAATGATTTTTTTGTTCATACGGAAAAGCCTAAACACCCAAAAACCTTAAACTTTTCAATTTTAGGTTAAATTTCCATTATATTGGCGAATAAAACCGTATTATTATTTGACTTTTTTTTTTACAAGAAGAAAGGTTTCACGTAGGGTGGGGTGCAGGGCTTCTGGCATTGTGGGATCGATTGCAAATTTAAAGTGCAATCATCGACGGGTTAACCTGCGTTCTTGTGGAACCGGTAACTTAACCGCCTCCACTTCGAGAGAGAGAGAGAGAGAGAGAGAGAGAGAGAGAGAGAGAGGCGGAGAAGGAGAAAGAGAGGGAGGTTTTTTAAAGTAAAGTATAATTCTGGTCTTCCTCTGTGTCAGGTACCAGATGGACTACCAGCTCGGGGTGTTCTTATCCAGATCTTCAGTCAATTTGATTCAAATCAACAAAATTTGGGTTTTCCCCATTTGGCAGGTAATGATTTTAAATGATTTCTTTAATTTGAAAAAAAGGCGTGCAACAGAGATGAATATTGCTAAGGAACCATAAAGGTTTAGACATAATTTGTAGGATATCTATTGAAAATCAAGATTAGAATTGGTTGACTCTGATTTTGCGTTTTGCGGCAATTATTTTCAAATTGTGGTTTCTGTAAGTTGAAACGGACATGCTTACTGTACGTCATCTTTCTTTCAGGGTATCAACCTTGGGGTATTGGCTGCTAATGCTGTGTATCAGTTCATTCCAAGCATCTGGATCATCTTGACTCTGATCTTCTGGGAGGGACTGCTAGGAGGCGCCACCTTCGTCAATACTTTTTATAGAATTAGAACGGAGGTAAAGTACATGAGCGAACTTGGGCACGTGCGTGTGTGTGTGTGCGTTGAAGTGTGTGTGTTTTAATGAAACGCGACTGAAGATTTAAGACGGTCTGGTTATAAGACAAACCTACTTACAGAATGACACGCCCACTTTCGATCAAACTCTTTGAATAGGTGTAGATTTCGCCGTGATTTTAACTCGTTTTCTTTTTACCTTCAGGTTCGGGAGGAGCACCGCGAATTCAGCATGGGCGTAGTAACCCTGGCAGACGCTGTTGGAATATTTATTGCCGGGGCAGCAGCTTTACCGTTACACACTTATCTGTGCAATATGTACACGTGATGAACTGACGTCACGTCGGTGTAAGAGTGTGACGTCACGTTTCAGATATGACGACTGTGGCAGTAGACAGGCATTATCAGGGATTGTAACTTTGTAGTTTGAATATGAATGGCGTGATGGTGTGACACATACCAGTAAAACAGGAACTTACACAAGTGCGAACTTACACATGTGGGAGTGTTCATCCTAGATGCCATTACATAAAGACTTAACAAAATACAGTGTACGACAACAAATTTTCTCTGTCACAGAACTTATAGTATTATTTACTCAGGAATTGAATATACCTGTCCTTATGTATTATAACTTTATCTGACCTCACTTTCCCTGGTGCTAAAATAATTGTGTTAAATTTACATATTTAAATATTAAAAAAAGCAAATTGACAACTGTTTTGTCAAGCAGTTTATTATTATTATTATTACTATTAGATGCTTTCAACAAGTGACATCTAAAAATTCCTGAGCCAATCTTACAATAACCTGTAGACTTCAAACTTATTGTCTGACACCTCCCATGAAAACACTCAAAAGGGGGCGCTGAACTCCCACATATAGGATCCACTTCAGTAACATCCTCTTCTTGACACAATTCTTTTTATTTCTTAAATTTGATAAAATCTTATCAAGAATTTGGATAAAATTAAATACTATGACTAAGGACAAGACCAGAAATGTGATCTTTCAAAATCAAAACAGGTCACTAATGTCATCCATGTACACGTCTGTGAGGGGGGCAGAGGTCCTGTTAGGAGGGGTTGCTACATGAGGGTCGTATGTCCACTTTGGATACATCCTCTTGTACAAGTTCATCAACACAGTGTCCTGAGACTTCAGCTGACCATCAAATATACACTTCATGTGACCATGGGTGCCTGGTTAACAAATAAACAAGTAGTTAAAAACAAATAATGTTCAAAACCGAGATTTGAAGATGGTAGTACCCCATTATTTTTTTAATTGAAGCAAAGATTTGAATGCTCCTCCCCCCCCCTCCACTTGATGGTAGAACACCTTAATCTGAAATCATTTAAATTTTCACCATTTACTTAGTAAACAAGTAAATAAATAAATGAATAAATAAATGAATATAAGATGTATAAATCTTTCAAATTAGATCTTTAAATCAACTTTGTCTTGTAACATTCAATACCTTACCTCTTACTAAGAGGTAGAAAAATTTCATCCAGTACAAAATCTTAATAATTTTCAGCATTAACCAAGACAAGCCCAATCCTTACCCAAAGCCTCCTTGATGTGCCCTCTCCTCCCATACTTAGTCCTCAGTTCTACAGGCTTGAACCACAGTATGTCCTCTGAAAGATGGTGTAGGAGAAGGTATCAATATGGGACATGTTTATGAAGAAAATATTTATAAGACCAAAGTATTAAAATAAGACATTCTTAATAAAACAATATTTAATCTATATTTACTAAGCAAAGTGCTGGACCCATTCCTTTTCCAGTCTACTGGTATGAATATAATGTACTGTACACCTTCCACAAAATAAATATAATTATTCAACTTTATTAAATATAAATGCAGATGATCAAGGAATTAAACAGAATCTTATGTTTTTAAAAATTTTCTTTGCAAAATATGTCCATCTCATATAGTATCTCCCTGTCACAGAAATTACTTGCATCTGCTCACCTCTGTTAAAAAACATATATCTGACCACAGCTGATTTCTTGTTAATCTTAAAGGCATGACCACTGAGGACCACTCTCTTGGCCACTATACGGTCAGGGTTGACGGACAGAACTGACCCTGTGGCTATCAAATCATGATCTCCTGGAAATAGTTCAATTTATGTAAATTAAAAATGTATGATTACTGATTAAATAGAAGTATATAAAACTTTTCCATAGTTTAGACCACCACATCTTTTTACAGATGCAATAAAAAACACTTTTATTAATCAGCAAAGAATTCTTACCCATGACTTTACAGTTGGGTACTTTTTCCACTTCAAAGCTCTTCAAAAATGTCTTCAACATATCACTTTCACTTTCTATAGTAAAAATTCAATGGACACACTAAAAGTGGATCTCTACAATCTCTTGGTATCATCCACAAGTGGTGAGCTAACTCTACTCACCATTGCACTGTTCTTTAAACACCAGTACAGAGGCTGGAGGAAATATGATGGGGGCAAATACAGTGGCCACACACATCATGTCCTTCTTGAAGAACTTTTCAAACTGAAAGTGTCAAAATATCATTAACTGTTATTTATCACTGGCAGCACCAGCTCCACATCACAATGATTTAAAATGTATTTATTTCTATTATCTGTCTTCTTGAAAAAAAGACTACTGAATTTCTCTAAAATAATAAATGATTGGTGACTGTTATCTTGTCTGGGTTCATGCTAAATGTAGAACCTATATCTCCATTATATTCCAAGAAATACCTGGCATTAAGACAGAAAGACAGATAACACATTGTGAAGCCTACAGGGTCTACTTACCTTATGCTTGTCTCCATTCGTATGCTGTGAAAATATCGGACAGGCAGCAAATCTCCTGTAGCCTACATGGAAGATCAACCGCTCCTTAGATTTGATTGGCTCAGTGCTCTGCGGCAGACGTTTCACCATGAAGTGTACCACAGACATCTTCTGCTCGTGTGAAAGTAGTCCGTACAACACCACAGGAGAGCCAGCTGTGTAGGATTCTGTAAATATAAGTATTTTACTTTCATGGTCGATTAATTTTTAAGTAAAAAAGTTATAATGCCCAATCACCTACAGGACTATATAAACTAGGCACTGAATATGACACTCATACAGACATTTAACAAAGATATCCAAATAAACATTCAAGAGTATCTAGTCAAGATGGATAATGGTGAAAATTTACAGTATTAAATATTCACTTCAATAGCACATTTGTCCAGTCTACAAGTTACTGTCCACAATTTAATGAGTTTTTTTTTTCTGTCCAATCATCTGCATCATACTATACCCTGTAGACTTACCCATGAAAGCTCTTGGAACATTGGCAACATGAACTGTGACATACCAACCAGGCTGAAATAAATAATTATGAAAGGAATGATTTAACACTCACTTTACATGACAATAGCATTGTCTCATTCTATTCTTAAAATTAAAACACAAAAACAAGATGATTAATTTTTGAAACATATTTCACTTTAACAGTACAAATTATCAAATTTTCATTCTTTTTTTTGAACAACAATTACTGGTTAAAACTACCTCAGCCCCATCCTTCTCCTCCTCAAGCACTCTTTTCTTTGTTCTTTTAAAATTTTCAAACTGGAAAATCCTGGCATAGTCAGCTGGCAGGTTCTCCTTGGGGTCCCACGGGGATGTCCTGAAGCTTTTCAGACCACGGTATCTGCAATTGAAAAAATATATATAAATGTACATAGAAATTTCTTTTTCTATATTGGTAAAGAGGAGAACTTCAGATGCTGTGTCACAAACAACCAAAGTCATTACTTATTAAATCAAGTAACATGAAAAGGAAAGAACATCATTCAACAGACATAAATACACACACTGAACATTTATTTTTTAATTTAAAAATGGCAAAAAAATATTTTGAATGCTTTGTCAAAAACAAACTAGCCACTAAATCAAACAGCAATGCCTTATTTAACAAAGGTAATAATACACCTGTGTATTTACATTCTTACACACACTCATACATACATACATATGTCAGCATGTACAAAATCCCAGAGAAACAAAAAGAAATGCCTGTCCATACCTCTGAAATCTCACTCTGGCTGGCGTGTCCATGGGGGTGTCTACTTCATCAGGGAACATCTCATCTGCTCTGGCTGCCTTATACTTCTCCAGCCTGAAGAAGGGACCAGGTTTATATAAAATTATATCTTTCAAAGTCCTTGGCCCTTCTCACACTGGGCAATACATGTAAACAAGAAAGTATGTATCAGTGCTCCTGTAAGTATTTACTCCTTCTCACAAGTTCTAGCAGAATACTTCTCGAATTGAATAATTATGAGGAAATAATCAAAATTTAAACCATGTTACTCACATCTTTTCTTCCTCATCCATATCATAATCAGCATCATACTTCTCAACATTGCCAAAAGAGACAGTCCCCTGAGTGATAGACAGTAAGTCGGCATCAGTGTTTAATTAAGACACAATGTGTAGAGCATACATTCAAAGACACCACACACATTTTTAAAAAAGATTTCCTTCTCCAAATCTTTATATGCACTTTCTTTTACTTGCAAAAGTAAAATATGTTGATCACTAAACAGTTAAATAGCAAAAACAAATCTAAATATTATAATTTTCTCAAGTAGCTACACAGGTGTTCCTTCAAGATATAGATAACAACCTTGTCTGTATTTGTTCCATCGTCTTCCTCCTCTTCCTCTTCGTCATTGGCTTCAGAATCTTCATCATCATCTTCATCCTCTACTGCCATCTTTGTTTCACCATCTTCACTCTCTGATTCATCATCCTGTATTAAATTATGATAAACTCTAACATTGTCTTTGTAATGGAGCACAGATACCGCATACAAAAATAGACTTACAAAAACAAAAAGGTGATTATGGATTATGCAGAAAGTCTCTAACCAATGTTTTATTAGCCAATGTGTTGATTTTCTTTGAATTCATCCCTGTCCTTCTCTCTCTCTCATTTCAAACAATTAGACAAGGGAGAACAACATAACTCTACAGGGTGTTTCAATAAAACTTGCATACCACTCACCTCATCTTCACCTTCATCACCACTGTCTACAATCCATGCAGCCTGGTATTCTGATGTTCCCTTGGGGACCTTCTTGGTAATTGTCTTCTTTTCATGGAACTCTGCTTAAAAGAACAAAAACAAAGTTCAGAAACAAACACACTTTCTCTCTTTTATTCAGTATCTAGAATTGCTTACTTCTCTTCACTTTTGCTCCTCTAAGGTAATGAAAAAAACTAGGCCCATTCCATAAGCAATATCTTAAATGACGATCATGCCATCACTTGAAGAAAAAACATTCAATTGAGATTCTACATTCTAAATGAATAGCAGTAATATAATTCAATACAAAGTTATCCTATACACACTAAATTCTTAAATCTATCTTACTGTCTGCTTCCCTCAGCTCCTCCTCTGTCGGCCATGTTTGCTCGCCCTCCATTGGGTCAGGTATCACCTCAGACTGCAGCGACTCCTGGTGGCTAGGTTGTGCCGTCTCCAACACCTTGATGTCTTCTTCCATCTTGGTGTCTGCCATGTCTTCATCCTAAACAATTACTCTATGCAACTAGAATCCTTTTCTTAAATGTATTGCACAGTATATTTTCAATATTGTCTATATTCCAACAAACACATCAGTTTCAATAATTTGACATTTTTCTTGTAATGTGTGTTGCCAAGGATTTAAGTACTGGCAAAGATCTAGGTACTGGTTTTACTTCTTTGAATTAAAAATACAAACAGCGGATCAATTTGCAAGGAAACGATGGACCACAAACAGTCACCCCCCCTTTAATTTCACCTCTTATATCAAAACAAAGACTACGTTCACAAGTATGGTAATTACTCGATCTTTTCAATGGGGGAAAATTGTGAATACATATACTATATTTCTTGACATTATAACATTCTTATTGAGTGGTAGCAACAGACTTAAAAAGCAGGCTACTCTCTCTCAATATGTATAGAAAAAAAAAGATTTTGTGATTATAAAATTATGTATATGAAAGTTTCATAATTTTTGCCCATCAAAAAGACCAAATTATTTCTGTACACTAATACCCACCATGGCCTCCCCCTTCCTCTTCCTCTCCTTCTCCACCCTGAGGATCAAGGGGAATGGATCCCGAGGGGCATCTATCTGCTTCATCTGGAAGTCCCCCCAGCCAGGGATGTGAACCAGGCCATTGACACTCAGGGGGCAGCCCCTCACATAGCCTGACACCTTCAGGGTGCCCTCCTGGCTCTGGAGATGAGGAAAATATGTCTGTTTAATCTATTTCCTCCTTATCATTTAAAAGCACATGAAACCTACACTACATTATCCTTATACACGAAGGTCACAGGTAAAATTAAGATTTATCATGTTTCTACATATTACTAATAAAATAAGATAAATAAATAAATAAATAATAAGATTTTCCTAGTGAAAAAATAGAAACGAAAAGCAGATGAGAAATTTGATCAAATAGATAGCCTCTTACCCTTATAAAACATAAATTTTACAAATCAACATCTGTTAAAAGGTGTATATACTGCACAGTCATACAATTCCAATAAGTGCCACACTTTACAATGCAGTTACATGTAAGTATGACATGGATGCTCACATTTTCATCATTGAGTTCAAAGCTGACACTTTCTCCCACAAGATGGGGCCTTCGCTCTCTCAGATGGATAGGTTTTAACTTCTGGCTGCTGATGTGATGGAGGAGCTGCACAGCTTCCTGACTGCTGTCCAAACTGTGACATTTTTCTTTAGGAAATCTGAAACATTTCACGTTAAAAATTTCAATTCTAAAACATGTTTATTGTTGATGAGAGCAGTGGATCTTACTTAACCAGCAGAATATCAATGGATATTTTCCCCAAAAGGAAATCATCTTGATAGAACCTGTGAAAACACATTGTGACTTCTTTCAAAATAAAAGATAAAAAAACAAAAAAACAAAATTAAATAATTATTTGAAATAATAATTTGAGTAGCAAAATTTAACTGATATTTTCTTAGTTTCAGTGAAAAAATTGACATCAAAATACCTCATACCGAATGCATAATTCATAAAATCACAATATCTGATGAAGAAAAATTATCCTCCCTATCTTGAAGAAGTTTTTCTACCTGCGTTCAATATATTTTTGTATCATCTTTTTGGTTTCCGTCTGCTTCTTCAGAGGAACAGCTTTCAACCCCTGGACCCCATGCAGTGCAGAGGGCATCCCCTGTGCTTGTAGACACGCCAGACAATAGTCACCGTAGCTGTCTGCGGCAAACTCTGGTGAGTACATTAACAGCATGCTGTCTGCAACTTTGGCAGCGTCAAGGAGAGCGGTGAGGTTACCGTACTCGGGGACCATGAAGGCAAATCTCTGCTTGAAACGGGGCACACTGGAAGTATAAACATGGGGCTTGAAATCAAAATGGTACTTCATAAAACTTTGTAGAGTAAAATAATGATGGTGCTTTTTTGAAACATGGAACGTTGAAAATGGAATCTCATGGTGAGCTTATATTAAATAGAAACAAGCTTTTTTTTAAAACCTTGCTATAAATACAATTATTAAACACTGCTAAAATTAGTGCAAATACAAATACAGGCTCTATCAAAGCTGTGCATAAAAGAACCTGTTTAATGTATCTGCATATCAAAACTAGATTTTATTACATTTTTATGCTAAAACTTGGTAACAAGTCTGAAAGTTTCCATGGTGATAACAGGACATTTGTTATCAAGTCTTTTTATGTTTCCATGGTAATAAAAGAGCACATGAGAGATACCTGATATGTATGACACCAAGATCACTGGTATTCACCACCGCTGTGTCATCACAGGTCTTAATCAGCTCCAGAACATCATTGCCATACACGCCATTACACAGGGGGAGGATGAGCTGCAATTATAACAGCCAGAGTGGGACACGTGATAAAATGATAACATTGGTGTATTTGTGTAGTGTTCAACAACTAGATGGTGAAATCCTTTTTGTTTTTCATAAACACTTAAATTCAATCAAATTGTGAGAGTAAAACAATGCTTATGTTCAAAATATGATGAAAGGTTTATTCTTTTATTCAACATACTAATGATAAACAATCCAATACTGACACTATTTTTCTGGGTTGCAAGTGTGCTAAAAAATAGCTTCTTTTCTGATTTCATTCATTTATTTTTGATGGGTTTTATCTTTTTCTACAAAGCATATTACTTAGTAATACAAAATTTGTGAAGAAATAAAAATAGAAAGATACAGAGAATGTAAATAACAGTCACAGAGATAAAGATGTCTTTGCCATTGCACCTACCACTAGGTGAGGAGGGCTTCCAGCACTGCCGCGGCTCCTCTTCTTTGCTAGAACTTCATCTCTTTTATTTTTACGTAATTGCAGAGCCTGGAAGAAAAAACACACATGAGAAATAAATTTATACAACTCACATGATATTTGCTGAAAAAAGATTCCAACTTCAGCATTCAGTAGGTTTTACTATGATAGGATGCATGTGAAGATATATTTTTTTTACATGTAGCTTAAAAGGGGCATAACATATTAATGCTATTCTGGCTATAACAAACTTTAAGTGTTAACCTGTACAAAGTAGAACAATGAAAATGTCGAATACTGACAGTCATTATGTTAATATTATGAACTAAATATCAACTTACCTGATTCCTTCTGTCAGATTTCTTTGCATTTTGTTTGGCTTTCTTGCTTAACACTTTAACACTAACTCGACCTGCAGAGAACGTTAACAGTCAATAAATAATCAGGAAATAACATGCACTTCATTTAATCCACTACATTTCAAGAAAAGAATGGAAACATGTAAGTTGATAAACTAAACATTATTGCCAGTCCAAATATAATTATGATTTATGGTGTTTAGGGGGGGGCACGTACCTGTACAGTGTACCCGTTAAAGGTCGTAAATTTCTCGCGATTTACATGTACTGATAGTGTATTACATATTGTACAGTTAACCTTTCATAAGTTAAGAGATCAGCACAGTCTTCTGTAGCTGGTGTGAAACACGGTTAGCAGCTTTGAAAATATCACTGAAATGCGACGTCAACAAAACCACGTGTTCCTGTCTACCATGTGATGTACACACCTTCTCTTTAAACCCAAATTACGAGACAATCTGGACATTTCTGAACGACAAAAAGTATTACGTATCACCCACCTTTTGTGTCTTTATCTAACTGGCCTTTAGTTCGATGTCTCCCACTTTTGTGTGTCTTGTTTTGCTGTTTTAAAGCACCCGGTCTGTGTTGGGGCTGTCCGTCGGCCGCCATCTTTAAATTCCGTCTGCAATATTCTCGTAGCGAAATATGTCATCTCAGGCTAGGAGCCAGATGCCACCTCAGGCTAGCAAGTTTAACACCTAAAAATGCATTTCCTTGTAAATATGCATATTTGGGTATTTATACCTTTTATATTGCTCTCTGACTTTTTCTCTTTTCAAGAACTTGTTAACTTTTCAAGAACTTGTCTTAGTAGGGCAAAACAAGAAGAGTCCAGTTTACAAACAATTAACGAGAGACGATGGTGCTGACATCTTACGGTGTACGATGGTTTCAGTAAGTTTCAGTAACTACTGTTTTTTCCAATAGATGGCGACTGATGTTCACTGAGCGTCAAGATTTCATTTTCATTCATTGATGATAATGACTGAAATAGTGTAACAGATAAAAATTGAAAGGAGGCAATATATAGGTGCAGAATTCTAATTAGAGCAAATTTTATTGCATTCTCGATATAATTTTGGATGTATTATGTCAGCCCGCTTTATTACATTTGTACGCAGGTCTATCCAAATGAATATTAGAAAACTGGTGTAAAGTTTATTTATTTTTCAGAAATGCCACTTTTTATACCGAATCGTTCTTTGAAAACAGCATGAGCTTAAATTCTGATTAAAAATCTTGTCATTTTCTTTATTCATTTATCGATTCATAACAAAAATTGACTTCCTGTTCATTGATCACAAAATACGCTTTTTTATGTATGACAAAACTGCTGTGCATGTACGTCATTCGCTATTCCTTAACATTAAAGCATTTCAAGACTGATGAAATGGCTCTCTTACCGGTACACTCTTTAATCTCAAGTTTAAAACAGTGCTGAATAATACACGCTTGACTGTAAAACGGAGGGGAGGGGGGATTCAAAGTATTAATAGTAATAAAGAAAGTGCAATCAATTAGCGTTTTTAATTTTTTATTTTATTTTTATTTTTTTATTGTTGGACCATTCGAACAAATACATGAATAAATGTAGTTGAAACTTTTTTTCACACAAACTTTTCCTTTCTTTAATGTTTTTATTAAGTTTGGTTCATTAGTTGACATTGGGCGCCTTTTTAATTCTCATCGCTACCCACATTATGCGATGGATAATTTTATACAACCAAATTAAAAAAAGTAGATAAAAATCATCACTCAGATTATTTTAAAAAATACCAGAATGAGTTGACAGAGTGACGACTTTTACTGACGTTGAGAACCAACCAAGAGTCTGTTGATATCAAATTTAACATGAGTGACAGCACTTTTTCACGTATAATCCAAAACACAAATCTCACAAAAGTATCATTTTCAGTTAAAAACATCACACTCCAACATTTGAGAACCCATATCATGCGAACCCCAAGTCGCAAAATCGCCCCCGCATCGCCGGCATCCCAACTTTTACGACATCGCTCGGAGATTGTGTACAATCTCTAAGCAACTGATTAGCATATGAATAGCCGTCATAGAACCTCCACTCGTTAGTGCACTGGCAAAAGGCACAGGGGATTAGCCCACAGATCTCTAGCTTATTTGACTTCTACTGAGAGAAAAGTTACACACAGGAAAATGGGACTGTTTTTACCAGATGTCACATAAACTACTGGATATATTTGGTGTTTAAATCATGAGGCGAGCCAGTGTGCCGAATACGGCTCAAAGAGAGGTTAGTACAAACTCTATGGCATCAGATGTGGACTGTACAGTAACGCTATATTCGTGTTATAACGCTTCATCGAAACTTTTAGCGTTCACTGTTTTTATAACGGCCTACGGTGTGTATATACTGTACATGGTCGGGCTCTTTTAATATACTTAAATGTCCAAACTGCTGCTGTCCAGGCAAACGATGTAAGGAGTTGCTCAAAATTAAACTTCTCGTTTAGCCGCTCTTTTCCCCCTTTACTGCTAAAAACCCTCGTATTTTGTAGACGTTGAAGAGAATGCTGAATGCAAACGATTCGTTATACTCAACTTCTAAGTTCTAGTCCTCCTATTTATTAATTTTAATGGTATTCTCTGTGATGCTTTGGTCTAGCAGACTCGATCTGGACGCGCTGTGATGCTATGTAATATATGAGGATGTTAATTTCAGACCACCCACGGCTAAATATCACAACTTGTTGCGTAATGTATCTAAATTACACACATGTTGTTACAATATTTGTTTGGCAGAATCTATCTGTTTGAAATCATTGATATAAATGGTGTAGTTGTTTTGTAATTAGTATAGTTTTAATACTAGCATGAACGTAGTATATTTGTTAACTGGGAATTTTAGAATTTGACCTTTCAATAACCATATGAGAGCCAGTAGATGATGGCAAGAATGACATACTATTCTACTGCCCTTCCTTTAACTCAATGGGCTAAAATGTTGGATACAGACTTATTTTGATGTGATATATTACATGTACATGTATCTGCAATTCCTGTGTGCATTCACTTCATCAATTTACAATAGCTAGGATTTTTTTCACTCTTATTTCAGGCCAATGGTCACCACAGTGGTTACCAGAACGGGGTCCCTGTGGCTCCGATGAATGACTTTGAGGTCCAGCATCGCCCAGACATCATCTCCCATCTCCCCCCTCTCAGTGCTCCATGGGTAAGTGAAATAATAGCTGTGGGTTATAGCAGTGGCATAGAGTATCATAGAGGGTGGGGGTGGGGTGGGAGCAATGGGCACGTACCATCCCCCTAGCTTCATGTACGCCCTTCTCCCTCCCCCTCAAAAAAAAAAAAAAAAAGAAAAAAAAAATAAATAAATAAATAATATTTCAAGTAAAATATTTCAAGATCAAAAACCAAACAAATATTCCAGCCCTATGCGCCATTACATATAAAAGTAAAAATGCCTCTATGCACTGCTTTATATTTCTGGAGTGTTGTGAGAGGCCTTTTTTATCTTTGAGACACCCCTAAACCAGCGTAATTATGTAATCTGGTATCATATGAATTCAGTCACAGTATAGGCATGGTGTTATTGGATTGCCAGTGATCATTGGACCAAGATTTTCAGTGGACTGGAGCATTTTGGTTCCCTGAAACCTCTCCAAGGTGTCAAAATATCTCTGTAAATTAAGTCATCTATAACATTTGCGATAGACGTCACATTCAATTTTCATTCAACAATAGTCCTATAACGAGGACAGCTGCCTCATCATGTAAATGCCTCTCCTTTTAAAGCGATGAATATAGCTGTTTCTCAACAAACATTTTCGAGTCATGCAATCATGAAACACAAAAAACTTTATCAGGGAAATTAATGTCTATGCCACGAAGAGTCCCCATAGTTATAGAACTGATGATTGAAATTATTGAACTTGTCCTGGGAATTCTACAGGTAATGTATTCTGTATACAAGTAACATGTCCCTGTATTTACCCAGACGTTAGAATACCCATAGCTAACTCACAGCCCTGAATGATGTCAGTGTTTGTGTAGAATAGCCCAAGGATATGAAGGGCAGTGTTTTACATTATTGTTGCCTTTGAGAACATATTTAGATGAAACTGTGTGGGAAGTCCCCCTTGTTTTTCAGTTCTCACTGTACCGAACATGATTCTTATAGAGAGCAGATGTACAAATAGGTTTTACACATTTACCTGTATCTACAGCACTTAATTATTAATAGATGATTTTGAGTACATCCATCCATTATGTTTTTAAAGGATTTTAATTTTTTTTTTTTTTTTTTTGAAGAGGAAAAAGAAAAAATGTTTATTTTTATCAGCAGTTCTCAGTGCATGATAATTAAGTTTTTAAAAAGTTTTATTAAGTTTTATTTTAATTATAATTTACTTAATTATTCGCTCGGAAATATAACAAGTCTCTAATCCATTTTAGATTGCTCTTAGGAATCCAACACAGCTCCAAAATGACCCCCCATAACCCCGCGTGGCTTTGGTGACTTTTTGTAAACTGATCTATAGAGATGTTCACAAGTAGAGATTTCAATCCCTTGATTTTTAATGGAATATACATCTTACGTATGTGAACCCATTAGTCTAGGCTGCAAAAATCTATACAGTATTTTCAAGTGTATGGATTCACATTTCTAAAACAAGGAAAACATACTAGTATTTTTATGTGTATGTTGTCTGGCACATAGGGCAATCAATAGCAATTACGATTGGATATCAAGTATAAAGCTCTCCATACAGAAAAGTCTTCCTGAAACATTGAATAGACTACTGTGTTCCCTCTATAAAAGGTAACAGGAAGAGTCCATTGACAGTTGAAAAGGGTGACGTAAATTAAATATTGATATTTTGGTCAAACTGTGATATATGTTGTAATGTATGTATTGATGATGTCATAGATTTAGTTTTAAACAATACAGCAGTGATTTACGTTTGCATCATTAAAGAGCATAAAAAGCTTTTTTCATGGCGGTCTCCATTCTAGTCCATTGATTAATGGTTCACGGCGCTGTCAGTCTTTGAGGAAAATCTTTGATCCATGATTTGTTTCCGATGGGTTGTTAAAGGTTGCATACTGTACAGGCTATTTCCGGTAGACTTTTAGCGGGAACTGGTCTGTCTTTATCCTTGATAATGGACTGTCTGCAACCTATTGTTGAAGAAAAAAGAGGAGTTAGGTGTGTGTGGACATTTTGTTCAAGCAAGGGCATTAGCCATGAAACTTCTCCAGCTGTCTTTTTGACTTCCATTTTCATTTTTGAACAGCCATTTTTTAAAAATTATTTTATTTTATTTTATTTATTTTTTTGCACATTTTTATCATTGGAGCATGTCATGGATCCTAGGTAGACAAGACTTTTAATAGTTATTTGATCAGTTTTGTTATTATATGAATCATGATAAATCCAGTGCTCATGCAGCAGTTTACTAAGATAGAAACCCTATGGTCAAAATAGCAAGAGAAAAGATATAAAAGCAGTATTAACACAGATGGTACTTTGGCCTGCCCGTCATTTTAGTTTTTTTATCATGAAACATCATGCTCCTTTCACAACATTGCATTAAGTTGTATCACCATGGTATTGATTTTCCAACAGAAGTCACCTCAAAAGGTTATAATACATGTGTTATCACCGAGAGGTGGGATTGATTATGTTATTATGTTTTATCGGGATGATGCCTGAGACAAAAACAACACATTAAAAAGAAATCTATAGCAACTTCATGGCTGTAGATTTTCAGATTAAGTGACAGTTTATCAACAGTGGTGGATAACTCACAGGTGCTTGAGAATTAGTGCTGAGTGGGGAAATATACAGCTTAATACTTTTTCCTCCTTAGAAAAATAAAATGTATTTGGTTGTTTAAAAAATAATTGATAAATTTATTTTGAAGAAATGAAAAAATGACATATTTTAATTGGTGTATTTATATGATATACTAAGCTGTGTCACACTTTACACACTGGCCTGTAAACCTTTGTCCAGTTTATCATTTAGCTAGCCATTTTGAATTTACTCGACTGTCTTTTCCTTAAAGACTTTTCCAATTGGTATAAAATAAAACTGGAAATTCTCCATCTAAAATTCATAAGATAACTAAAGCATTACATCACATCTTTCTATATTGATATATTTGGTATATTTTTCCTGCTGTTATCACATTAACTCTACACAGACAATGCTGAGTAAACTGAAATACTCATTCCTCCGATCCAATAATGTTAGCAAATATGTCTTCTCCGTGAGATAAGAATGTTTGCAAACAAACACAATTGATCATAGCTACAATGGTGATAAACTGGCTGGTCAGGTGCAGGTACAGGGACGGTGAAAATATCACCTCAAAAAGTGTGTCTTTATTGTATATACATACTAGTTGGTCTGCCATGAATGTGGCTAATTTGGATACTGAGAATGAAAATTGAAAGAAGATGATAAACTTTTTTTTATTTTTTTTTTTTTGAAAATTATTGAAGTTCAACTTTTTTTGAAACCAGTGCATGGTGTCCAAGTGAGTTATAAGAAATAATTCTTGATATTTGAAATATTGAGAAGGTAAAACAGTTTGCAGCATTTTTCAGAGCACCCTTTACTTCCAACAAATGTTATCTTTGCATATGGTGTGTACACAACAGGGAATGACTACTAGTATGGTCCCTTTATGCCTCCCATGATTTTTACCAGTTAGTCATTTATCCATTTACAAAATATATACATATCTCAGTTTTCCCTTTAATCGATATGATTGAAGTATCAAATCAGTTTCCAAGCCAGGTTTGCTCGTAAAGCTACTGCATATAGAAGTAAAACAGGTGGATAAACATTTCTCCGTGGGTTTGTTATTTAGTGCTGGACAGGAAAAGCGAAGGGCAAATATAAGTTTTGTCAAAGGTTAGGTTTTATTGTAACTTTTTGAATAGAGGAGGTAAAATACACACGACTGGTGTGTAGTCAAGTGTTTTATGTCCCATGATAAAGTTTTATTATTGGGGAAGGTGTTGCTGAGTTCATCTTTTGTGTTTTTCTTGCTGTTTTTTTTTTTCACTCCGTTATTACTGTTTCATCAACAGGCATTGTTTGTTTGATATTTTATGGTTGCTCCTGTATTGTTTGTGTTTTATTGGCGATATTTTTTGCCCAACATTTATGATTTATTTCTTCCATAATATAAAATATGACAAAGTCTGTAGTGGATGTCCATATTTGTATGTTTTTGAATCAGAACATTACTCTCGATAGTAATCATGTCTTTGCTAAAAACTAAAAAAAAAGAAAAAAAGAAAAAAAAATGGTTGAAGTTTGGCCTCCCCCATTTGTTTACAACTGGGCATATCTTGTGTTGCACCCCATGGTTAAAGTTCACCACAAGGACTGGAAGCACTCTTCACAAAGTGCAGGTGGTTTCCTTCATTCAGTTTATTGAAATCCTCCCAAAATAGGAATTTATCGGTGAAATAAATGCAGCAACCTGTATGTTTTTTTTCTTTCAATGAGCCCTTGTTGTCAACATGGAATTCAGGATATTGAAGTCAGTTAAAATAGCTGCTCTTTATATATCAACTTTGCATTGGAGGAAAACAGACTTGGGACACAGGAGAACCCATAATACCTTCTATTAAAACTCGAGCACTGTTGCCATGTTGACACAGCCAACTAACCTGAAGGAATTTTCGTGTCAAAATTCAAAGATACTGTTTGACCAGGGGGGACTTAAGATACTGGGCACACACCCCTTGTATAGGAGGGTAAATTTGGCAGATGAAATTAATGCATTAAAACGGGACTGGGTATGAGAAATACTATGGTGACAGGATAAGTGAATTTAGTATCACAAAAGAATAGAATGTGTTTAACTTAAAAAGTTTTTAAATATGGAAAGTAGGCCTAAAATTGCAAGGAGGTTGAATGCACGTTGTCCTTGAGAGGAGGAATATTGCTGTGAATAAATATTGTTGCGTGACTTGTTTAATATTAGTGCTGGTTGGATGGAGAGATGTGGTAATAAACTCAGTAATATTGTATTTGATGTCAAAGAGAGAGAGAGAGAGAGAGAGAGAGAGAGAGAGAGAGAAAGAGAGAGAGAATGTACAGGGGAGAAATTTTAGCTATACTACAATACATTATTCCTAATTCAATGTAGGAAAGGACAATGGTTTTCAGGAGAAATACTTGCTATAGTGGTTAAAGCATTCTTAAAATTCACAACATTATTAAATCATTTAATTTTAGAAAAATCAAGATGAAATCTGTCATAAGCCCTGAATGTCATCGCAAATTCAGTCCGCTTTGAAGTTAAATGAAGTGTTTATAATGCCTCTTGCTTCGACATTCAGCCAACATTAGAAAACACAGCAGCCCAATGGAAGTTGAATAAAAGGTGGATTATTTTGTGTAGTAACCAATCCAAGTTATTGTTGTGCCGACTGGGGAATTGTGTGCGGTATCAGGGTTATTTTGAATGCCGATCGCTTTGGTTTTCAATACAATTGAGACATGTTTGTTCCATTTGTGAATCGGTTGCATACCCGAGCTTATAAATAGTATCAGCCTGATCTCAACAGGGCAAAGTTAAGTGTTTTGATGAGGTGAAATATGGTCACACAATAAAGTAATATAATTGTGCAATTGAAAGTGTTATGTGGGATAAATTTCAATACATCATTTTTTTTCATCTGGTTACAATAACAATTTAATGATGCTGAACTCAAATACAGACAGCTGAGGGCTGTTTACTTGTTTTTAATTAATAAATGTTCTCCTTCTAATAATTTTCACACCTTTTTCTCCTCTCTCCAATCCATAATGTTTCCAATGGTCTCTCTTTTTTCACTAAGGAAATACATTTTTAAAAAGTACAAAAAATTGATCTGAAGACAAAATAGCAATTTCAATTTTAAATTTGATAAGAAGGCTCAGCAAAATACATGTATTTGCCATACACTTACGACGTTAAAAAAATTGTAATGATAAATGGTTTATATATATATATATATATATACATACTAGTAGCTACATGTACATTATAATTGGGGCAATTATTATATCATTATAAGTCAAATATTTCCCCTCCCCCTTTTTCAGCCTGCTTATGCAGAAAAACCAAAGATACTCCAAAGAGGCTCGTGGACCCTAGCTGCTCCAATAAAAGAGGAGAAATATGTCCGTCATGTGAGTGACTCCATTGGCAATAACTACAGTCCCACGGCTCGTCATCTGACAACTTCCTTGATCTATGAGTCAACAAGATTTGGTAAGTTAGATTAATTTCACTGATTACCGAAGTTAAAATTATGAGTAATATTCTATATCTGCTATATAAACATAATAGACCAAGGAGTACTGAAACTCCTTGCATAGACATTGATAAAATTGCATCGTTGGAGTTAAACGAAAGTTTGTATCTTGTAGGATGGGAGAGCTGCATACTGTACCTCCCCTTTCATGCAGTCATACCTCCTTGGACCCAAAAAATTTTATAGTGAAAATTCAGAATCTGCCCATTTTTTCTTCCCTTCCCCCTATCCCATACACTGGCACATAATTTACCCCAGGTAATACAGGTATATGCACACACACAAAAGCACATGCATGTGCATGCATGCACACCTGGTAGATCTAAAGTGTAATGCTTTTACCATTAAATCATATAATCCACATAAAATTTACTCAGTCCGCTGTAATTGTCTAAACTAAGCTTTCCCCGAAATCTTCTTGTTTCCTTTAGTTTGGCTGTGAAATTTTAATAGTTTGACTAAATATTTGTTAGTTGATGATGCCGTGAGGGTGCTAGTTATACAGTAACTACAGATGATGTGCTACTGTGGGCCTTTGTTGACCATACTTACTGGTTCACTGGCACAAATATTTTTCAAGTCAATATCTCTAAGTACACTGACCGTATCTTTGATCAGTTTGAATCAGTTACTTTACAGAAGCTTTGATAGTGCAATTTTAAGGCATGGCTAGGGTTAGTTTATACGAATACTTCTTTAAAGTGGATTTTGGTTTTGTTTTACAAAATTTTTAATTGATTATCAAAGTAAGCTTCAATTTTGTCACTCTCAATCATCCATATCTATATGAATTTCTGTAGATTATTTTTTAAATTTTTTTTTGTCCAAAAATGCAAAAAGGAGTGTTCATTTCCTGAAAGGGGCACTTTTTTCTGTAAATCGTACATTTAAATTATAAATGGCGTAAAATATTGATTTAGAGTGGACCATTTAACACCCCGTACCCATTTTACTTAGCTGATATATCAACTTAATTTCCATCTATATGAGCTGCTGATTGCACGTAAAAATAAACACCCTCTTCATTTGATCATCAAACATCTTCATATGAATAGTTGATTAATTTGTAGGGGGGATTCATTTATTACTTTTCATTTTATAGATGCGTATGGGGTGATTTATCATTAACTATTTATAAGAGTGAAATAACAAGCAGCCTTTCACTTTAAACAAATGGAGTCTGTTATAATTTCATTGAAACATTAGCTTAGCACCACAAACCCATACAGAAATGCCAACAGTCATAAATCACCAATGGAAAGAGTTGAATGAAAATTTAGCAGAGCAGAAAGCATTCCATGTAATTATGGGCCGATCTTGTTCCGTTAATCAATACACTGAACAAATACCCAGACCAATTAAGACGGGAAGTTATAGAGCTGTAATAATGCTCCCCCGAGAATCAATGGCTACTTACTGCATTCAGGTGAATAATTAAAGGGATTCATGTAATTGCATTCTGTTTGCCTTGGCTATGATTTTATCACACTTATAGAGGAAGGCCTATTTTTTTTTTTTTTTTTTTTTACAAGGACTTTTTTTCTAAACAGCTAATTCGTCAATCCTTCTCCTCAGGTGTACAATGTTCATTGTGTACTTGTAGAAATATATGCTTAGTTCCATGTCCATTATTTATTTTGATGATATAATTTTTATTTACAATGGGTTTATGGAACAACAATATTTCTTATATCTCTGTAAAAAGTGATGCTGATATGTTTTTTTTTATCACAGCAGGAGTTCAGATTCAAGGCCTTTAATCAGAAAACTGATCTTAGAACTGTTTATATATCAGAAAACTAAATCTGACTTATTGTGATTTGTTTAAGGCAAAGAACAGGGCAATGTAAAATGTTTTGATGAGGTAAAATATGGTCACACAATTAAGTAATGTGATTGTGGCAATTGAAAGTGTTATGTGGAATAAATTTCAATACTTCGTTTTTTTCACCTGGTTACAATAACAATTTAATGATGCTGAACTCAAAAACAGACAGCTGAGAGTAGTTTGCTTGTTATTTTAAAATTGATAAATGTTCTCATGATAATTCCAGTGCAATTGCTTTTTATTGAATCCTTCTTTTTATTATTTAAAAATAATTTATTTTGAACTGAAGTACTATTGCACATCCTACTTTTCAGGTCCTCAAGCTGAGGAAGGTTTTAACTTTTCTCCCAGATCACAGAAAACTCCATCCCCAAGGTCATATCAGGATTCCTTCAGACCTAAGACAGCTGCTAATTCATACAGGTATGGCAGTACCACCAAGAATGGTCTTGTCACCAGAGAGAGAGAGAGAGAGAGAGATCCATTTTATCTTTCTTCTCTCTGCCCCCTGCTCTGTGTGTGTGTGTGTGTGTACATGCATGTGTGTGTGCGTGCATATGTGTGTGTGTGCGTGTGTACATGTGCTTAGTACTAAATAGAACACAAATGGCATGGGGTGAAAGATATAACCTAAAGAAGGTAAAATGGTGTAAAATAAAAGTAAAACGGTGTGTTGCTGTATTCCAATGTAAAAAGGGAATTGTAAATTTACAGAATTACCATGAATTTCATATTTATATTTATATTTGTAACTTTTAAAAACCACTGTTACAGAAATAATGAGAGAATAGATGTGACCCGTCTGCACACATCACAGAGCTATCCCCTGCTCAAAACGCCAGAGATCAGCAATGGCCATCATTCACCAAACACACTGCCACCTATCAATGGTTTTGGGAATGGCGAAGTCGAATATTCTGGTAAGTTAAAATATCTTATTTTATCATTTATTTGTGTGGATAAATTAGTGTGAATATGCATATGTGTTTTTTTTTCTTCCTTTCTCTCACAGCTTTTGGCAAAAAGGGTGAAACATACTTTAAAAAGAGATCCTTCTACATTTAACTAAAGTTCCATTGGGAATGAGCCCTAACTTTCAGTATTAAGTCCCAGGTCTTTTATTTTATTTTAAAAAAGCTTCCTTGGAGGCTGAATGTGCCCCAACCACTGTATAAGGCTTCATTCACATGGAAAGTCTA